CACCATGGCTGACACTCATCCGCATGCTGCAGAGAACCACCGCCGCCGCCGCCCGTGTGTGCTTCAATGGAACGCTCACTCGTTGCGGCGGCGGCATGCAGACCTCTCCTCACATCTCCTGCAGAGCGAGTATGATGTGCTTGCTTTGCAGGAAGTGTACGTAGCAGCGACCGACTTGCGACTTCCCGGATACATCGGTTACCAAAGTATCACGTCGTGTACTCTAGACACGTGCCAGGACGCGCCGTGCATAGCGAGTGCACATCCCCAGGGTCGACCACGTTGTGCAGTGTACGTGCGACGAGAACTACCACATGTGCACATAAACGTGGCTGATGTCACTGGAGGGGCTCTTGAGTGTTGTGCCGTGACGGTGCGGCTTCGCGGTGTGGACACGACAGTGGCCTCTGTGTATGTGCGACCTGGACAGCGGTGGGACGCCTCCATGCTGTTACAGCTCACGGCTAAATTCGGAAGAGACTACCTCATATGTGGGGACATGAATGCTCATCACACCATGTGGGGGAGTAGCACCTGCTCCTCTCGAGGAAGGGATCTGGTGGACGTTATCCATCAACTGGGCCTACAAGTTTTGAACACCGGATCCTTCACTTTCGTCCGCAGAACAGCACGACCGTCATGCTCCGCCATTGACGTCACCTTGGCCAGTGAAGGGGACCGGTACGATTGGGCAGTGGAGCCTGACTCCTGGGGTTCAGACCACCTGCCGATCGTCATCTCACCTGTGAGCGGAAAGATCCCAAGGAGGAGGCTGTGTAGTACGATCGATTGGTGGGCTTTTCGAAGGCAGCTTCGAGACGTCCCAGAGGATCAGGATTTCCTGAATCTGGTAGCAGTGGCAGCGCAGGCGGCAACTATCCAGACCAGGGTGCCAGAGCACCACCCTGTGCCAGACCTCCATCACTTGAACTTACGGGCTGCGAGGCGCAGGGCTGAGAGAAGGTACCTAAAATCCCATGACCCAGCTCAACGTACACTCTTCAATCGTGTGGATGCGGTATGTCGGCGACATGCCAACCGTCGCAGGCGGCAAAGCTGGCAAGGCATCTGCCTCTCCCTGAGTCAGGCAAGAGGTGGCGCAAAAGCATGGCGACTTCTACGATCCCTCGTCACTGGACCAATGGTGCGGCAACCCGTCATTGCGGTGGCCATCTACTTAGGCATTAGTGAAAAAGAACTGGCAGAGCGACTGGCCGATCGCTTCACAGAACTCCCACCAGCCAATCCTTCAGCCCTCATCGCCACGCCTGCTCCCAAGCCACCGCAAGGTCATCACCCTGCCTGGACGGCCAGCCAGATCGCATCTCTGTGTCAGGACCCTATTTTCGAACACGAACTGAACGTTGCTCTAGCCAGAACCAAGCGCCGCAGTTCCCCTGGTGCCGACGGCATCACATACCAGATGCTGCGCAACCTGGATATGGCCTCACGACGACACCTGTTGAGGACTTTTAATGAAATATGGCAGAGCGGCAACCTACCTGAAGCCTGGCTGACCGCTGTTGTGGTGCCGATCCGGAAACCTCGCCGCCCTTGTGCCGCCATTACGTCCTACAGACCCGTTTCTCTCACCTCTGCTGCCTGCAAGCTCATGGAAGCCATAGCACTGGCACGCCTAAATTGGATTGCGGGGGCAAAGGATTTCCTACCAGAACAGCAGACGGGCTTCCGACGCCACCGATGCACAGCAGACTCGATCGCGGACGTCGTCTCTACCTTGGAGGAGGCCAAGCGCAACGGCGAAGTGGCCCTCCTCGTCCTGCTGGATGTACAGAGCGCTTTTGACAGCTTGCCTCACATAGCGATAGAGAGTGCTTTGGACACACTCGGCATCGTGAGCTGCCTACGTACCTTTATCAGTGCCTTTATGGCAAAACGCACCCTCCGGGTTAGAGTACGACGCGCGCTCAGCGATCCACGGCCAGTGACAGCAGGCGTTCCACAAGGTTCCGTCCTGAGCCCCTTTCTGTTCAACCTGGTGCTAGCGGGGCTGCCGACCGCGATGCCCGCAGACAAGCGTTACCCCACGCAGTGCTCCTTGTACGCAGACGATGTGGCACTGTGGGTTAAGGGGCCTAGGCAAAACTTCACGGCCATAAGGCGTTCCCTGCAGCGCTCCTTGGATGCCGTCGTCTCTTTCTTCAAGGCAATCGGACTGAACGTTTCGCCCACGAAGACGGAGGCACTGCTGGTTCACCCCAGAGCCGCTGCGCGGAGGGCCGTCCGAAGGCTTGTGCTAGGTGACCGACCTATCCCGTGGAGCGATGCAGTGACGTACCTGGGGCTAAGGATCGACCACCGCCTTACCTGGATACCAGCCGTTAAGCTCGCCGTCCTCAAGGCCACCAGGGTCGAGACTGCCGTAAGCAAACTGCTCAGCAGGGGCCAAGGGTGCACCTCACGGCTGGCTCTAAGACTCTACGAAGGGGCTGCAACGACAGCGCAAACTTATGCACTGCCCTTGGTGCAGCTAGCGCCACACCGCAAGGAGCAACTGGAGCGGCAACATCGCATGGCAATTCGGCGCTTCATGGGACTTCCCCGTCAGTCACCCATAGCTGCAACCCTGGCGGAGGCCCAGACCTGGCCTCTGTCACTCTTGATGCTACGACAGGCGCTGCATCACGTGGATCGCCTTCACAGGGCCCTCGGGGGCGCTGCCCTCCTTCGGAGACTGCGGAGCCGACCAGCGTCACGGATGGCACAGATCTGCGCTCTCTATGAAGAGCTGGTCCCCGATCCCCCCAGTCCAATCCAACCCCCTCCACCACACCAGCAGCCTCTGGACGTACAATTAACTCTGGACAACCTCAGAAAAAGGCGCACACCGGCATGCGAGCTCCATCAGGCAGCCGTGGCGAAACTTCATGAAAGACTTAAGGGGCAGCTCCTGGTATTCACGGACGGGTCCGTTCGGGACAGCCCCCATTCGGCCGCGGCTGCCTGCGTCATACCATCGACTGGGACAACCATCCGCTGCCGACTTCCCTTTCACGCCAGCTCCACTGCAGCTGAATTGGCCGGCCTTCACTTGGCAGCCGACCACCTTGCTGCCACGTTACCCCAGTTGCCTGTGGCGATTCTGTGCGACTCCCGACCAGCCCTACAAGCGCTGCTCCAACCAGACCAAGCAGGCATAACTGTGGCGTTGCTGCACGCAAAACTGACCGCCATCAAAGAGAGTGGTGTGCGCCTGTCCCTCCACTGGCTTCCCTCGCACGTTGGAATAGCTGGCAACGAGGAGGCTGACGCCGCCGCTAAGGCAGCACACCACTGCGACACGCCAGTCACTAAGGCGGTAACCCAGTCGGATTACTCACGGCAGCGACTGCGGAAGCTCTTACCAACGGCCCACCCTGACACACGGGTGGCAAGCGGCAAACCTCCACCATCCCTTCCGGAGACCGGCCTGGACAGATGCGAGCGGCGGTTGTTGCTTCGCCTGCGTACTGGCAGCGTCTGGCCTGCGGCACGCATGTATTCCGCGGGTCGCTCTTCATCGCCAGCGTGCCGAAGGTGCGGTGATGACGAAACGCTGCAGCATATTGTTTGCTCCTGCCCTGACCTGGCCACTGAGCGTTGCGCACTGGTAAGCCGCTATCGTCTGCTTGGACTACCTGCCGAAACAATGGAAGACATACTTTTTCCCGCGCGCTCGAAGACGAAAGCCCTTCGAGCCTTCCTCGAGTTCTGTGCTTGCGCGGACCTCGCCGCCTTATAGACGGACTCTTTTCACTCGCACTACTGACTGTACTGACAAGACGTTCTCTTGCCATGACATTCACTTTTTCTTTCCTTCCTCTCTTCTTCCTATCATCTTTACTTCCCCTTCCCCGATCCCTAAAGGCGCTGAGCCGTGCCCCCGCGACGGGAGGCAGAAAATAGCGTCCTTTTTGTCTCTTCCTCTTTCATTAATCTCTCTCTCTCTCTCTCTCTCCAGGCATTTCGTATTCCTTACAAGCGGCGTTAGCTGAAGGCGCGCAAGCGAATAAGTAATTGCCCGCGTTCCTGTCGCTGGTTCGTAGAAAGCCAACTCATCTTTGTACGTGACGCCTATACGACTCGTACGCTTGTGTCGCTAGAAGGAAGCTATTAGAACAAACTAGGCGTTAACCTGAACCGTGGGGTCTCATTTTTTTTAATAAACTTTTATTTCAAGTGGCGAGAGGATGGTTAATATATCGCGCTGCGAGTATTTTCCTCAAGAACAGATATTTTACGCATGTTATACGGCGCTGGCATTCTTGCAACCGCAGCATAGTGTCATGAGTTGCACAATGAAAGTGGTTGCAGAGCTGTAAACAGCACTTACAAAAGTGGATATGCGTTTGCTGAATGAACAGCCTTCCCATTCTTTTAATCAACCATGTTAATAAAACGGCAATTGTAGGTCTCAACAAGAGTATACTTATTGGGATAAGTAGACAAATTGTGATGGCGTACCATTGGTTACATCATAATTGGGTTACACGGTACCCCTCATTAGAGGCGCGGGTGTAATTAAGGGGCAATAAAGAGCCGCCGCTGGGACGGGGTCATTTTACTCGTATTTTACGTCCGGAAAAACGTATATAATAAAGCCTTTCTTCGCTGCTAATATGCTCATTTTCTTGTTGAGCCTTATTATGAACTTCGTTTCTCTCCTTGACTGAAGACTTTGACGTACACTACAGTACGATTGGGAGAAACACCGTAGTAAAGCGCTTCGTTAACTTCGAACATCTGATGTTCTTTAACCGGCTCTGGCATCGCACTAAATACGGGTCTCTGCAATTTTGCGTTCACCGAAACGCGACTGCTTCGGCCGGAATCGAACCCGCGACCTTGAAATCAGAGGCCGAGCGACGTAATCATGGCTCCACCACGGCGGACGCTCTGACGTGCGATGTATCTACATATAAACGATAAGATTACCATGCCTTCAGACAGTCGTGCTGAAATTTCAGAGAAAAACTTTATTCTTTTCCGATTCCCGGCAGTGGGATTTGGTTTGTTCTCACGGTCACCTCCCAAGCCTGGTGTACTCCATAGCCACGGCAGGCAGCGTCATTGGCACTGTCATCATTGGTGCAGTGGCCGACAAGTGAGTACTGCACAGTGATATCAGTGTACAATATTTTACGATTATTTTATTACACAGGATTTCGGCAGAGTTGCTTGGTTACTGCAAGTTACCCGTTTCCAAGAGCACCATAAGGGCCACATACATATTTGGTACTATTGACTGCATATTTTTGCTTTCCTCCTCTACATTCTAATGCAAACAAAATTACAGAAACATTAACGATAAGTCGCCAAAATCTCGCATTCTGGATCATCTCACATTGTTCACAGCACGGTGTTTTATTGATAACAAAAGCACATCGCCAAACACTGTTGCTTTCCACAGTTACGTGCCACACAGCACTATGGCATTGTTAATTATAATAATAATGGACCCTATTTCAAGCCCATTAGCAAACGCCAACAAAGCAGCTCAGTTGCGTTCACTGTGCCGCGATTACGTCACTGTCAGAACAGCACTCTACACCAGAAATTTAATTTTCGATCCACATTAGTTGGCCATATGCGACGTCTTTTCCGAGTTGAATTTGTATATCTTAATCTTCCGTCTCAGCACAACCTATACCAAATGCACGACGAAGGCCTGTCTCGGCGATCTCTAACTTACCCTATCTTGTGTGATCTGACCCAGCTTCATGTCGGTAAACCTTTCAACATCTTTGCTGCGGTTTCTGACGACGACACTCAATTTCCGTGGTGCACTTTCTACCGCAGGTACGGCCGCAAACCAACCTTCTTCGCAATCGTGGCGCTAGCGGCGTTCTCAGGCTTTGGCGCCGTACTGTCTACCAACTTCACCATGTTCGTCGCCATGCGCTTCGTCAACGCCTTGCTGGACCCACAGATCGACCAGGTGCCCTACATCATCAGTGAGTCTCATACGGTGCGTTCGGTTTTTGCCGCGTGCTTGGTGTCCTACACTGATGTGCGCCACAAGTCGCTGTTAAGAGTCTGTTGACTGCTAAAAGCACTTTATGGAACGAAAAGATGCAATGTACTTATCTCGTGAATGTTTCAGATAAGAAACCCTACAGTTTGCTCGGCGGAGGCGGAAATGGTGTAGGCCCATGTGCTCAGATTTGGGTGCACGTTAAAGAACCCCGCGTGGTCGAAATTTCTGGAGCCCACCACGACGGCGTCTCTCATAATCATATGGTGATTTAGGGACGTTAAACCCCACGTATCAATCAATCACAGTTTGCTCGGCCTGCCGAAGCTTCAACGGAATACCATAAGGCGTACAGGATATCAAAAGAGCCGGGGATTTCCTTCTTTACACTAATGCAAGTGAAAAAAGAAAGAGTTATCTAATCAAGGAAAATGGGAAGATCTACCACGATTTCTGCTTCGTTGCCGCGTTCTGGCCGGAGGGATATGATAGGAGAAATGATACTATAGGAGGAAGAAATGATATCAGACGAAACTATGATTGTAATAATAATTTTTTTTCTGATCACACAATCCCGTCTCATTGTTATGCAATGTACAATTGATTGTAAACTCGGGTGATCATATCTTGCATCCATATGTTGACTTGAGTATTCTGCAAACAATGGGGAAGTCATCTATGAAACCCAGACAAAATGAAATCGCGATCAGAGTACTGTCCGGAGCAAAAGTTTGCGGAATCTGCTGCGCGTGGCGGAGTGGCGCAAAACTGCACAGCTGCACCGCCTATACCGTTACGTAACGTGGTGTCGTGTATATTGGTCACGGCTTCCGAGATTACATCCGGCAACGCCGCATTGTCTCAAAGCGCCCCTGCTAATCGCCGAGGCCGCAGTCGATATAGCCTTAACACCATGCCTCACCATGGTAGGCGACGCAGCAATGCTGTTTCCCGCCGCTCTGCCATGCACTGCTGATCCTGCAAACCTTTACTGCCGATAGCAGGACGATGATTAGGCGCAATAAGTAAACCTTGTAAGCAAGATTTGTTGGCCATGATACATGATCACTACGAAAGGTCAGCAGATGCTGCTCACTCGGTCTTTTCTAGTCTGTGCTACTACATCTGCGTTCATTTTTATTACGACGCCACTGTATCGAGTACTTCGTTGGATTTGAGTTTGACTTACTTTACTGTGCTCGGCTGCGGCGGCTGCATTTCCGATGGAGGCGGAAATGTTGTAGGCCCGTGTGCTCAGATTTGGGTGCACGTTAAAGAACCCCAGTGGTCAAAATTTCCGGAGCCCTCCACTACGGCGTCTCTCACAATCATATATGGTGGTTTTGGGATGTTAAACCCCACATATCAATCAATCAATCAATAAATCAATAAATCAATCAATTACTTTACTGTGTTTGACCGCAGTGTTGGAACTGGTGGGTGCCAAACAGCGCACCCTGATGCTGGGCGTGGCGTGCATGGGCTGGACGCTGGGCATGTGTCTGCTGCCGCTAGTGGCGTACCTGAGCCGCACGTGGGTGCTGCTGGCAACAGTGTGCGCCTCGTGCGCGGTGCCTCTCTTCTGCTACATCAGGTGAGTGACCAAGCCTTCAGAAGGTTCTAACAGGGAGCTGTTTCAGACTAACAATGAAGATAATGCCAAAGGTGTCAAAACGTTTAGGCTCGTGCCCCCTTTTTAATGATTCTTCGTTAGTATAGCTATAGTAACGAAGAATCATAAGATAGGGATAAGATAGGGAGCACGAGCCTAAACGTCAGCGAGAGCTAAGAAAAATCTTGCAAGGTATATATATACATATATATATATATATATATATATATATATATATATATATATATATATATATATATATATGTCTTGCAAGACTTTTCTTAGCTTTCGCCGACGCTCAGTTCGGCCTCTTCTTCGGAAGCATAGGCGCTTTTAGCCATTTTGGAAGATCTAACTCCCGACAAATCGGCACCCCCTTTATAACACATGGCGCCTGAGTCCATCCTCAGCTCAGAAAGCTTTTGAAGCTTTATTACGTTTTTTTTTTTTTGCGAGAAACTGCCTTTAGAGAAGACCTTAGTGCCGTACTCTCTTTTATTTTTGTTTCTGTTCATTCGCTATGTTTTGTCTTCTCTCTCCTCCTTTGTATAATCTTTTATCCCCGTTAACCGCTTCTCCAGCACAGGGTAGCCAGCCGGTCTAAGAACTGGCTAACCTTCCTGTCCTTCCACTTGACTCTTTCCGCCTACTCCCCTAACTGACCCACTTTTCTTTAACAGCTGGGTTCTGGCCCGCTTCCCGCCGAGTATCACCCTCTCCGCTCTTCTCTTAGCGAGCTTCTCACCGATTAGCCCTTTCCACCAACCTCATCCTCGTCACTTCTGGCAAGAACCTCAGTCTTTCCGTGTAACCTCTCTCAGCCCGGCAAAGCCACCCCCCCCCCCCAACCCCCCCCCCCCCCCCCTGGCGAGCGTCATGTTCAGCACACCGTAAAGCAAAGGATCAACGAAGAACACCGTTGCCGCAAAAAAACAAATAAATAAATAACGCTCAGAAGCAAAAGCATAAACCGCATACCACAAATCATTACCGCAACTTGAAAGCTATAATTGTTTTGTCGTTTCCAGCAGTTTCTATCTATACGGTAGTAGGTTAAGTTGTATAGTATGACGTTTCAGCGTCGTGTCCTCAGTCGGCTGAAACCCCGGAGGCATTCACGTGATTTCCCGTTTGTTTCCTCATACCTCCCTAATGCCATATAATTTCCTAAAATTAACTAGAGGGGACTCTGGTGCTGCGATCATTCAGCGACCATGGGAATGATGGGTAGTACACACATTTGCCTAGTCTTCGTACTTGCGGGCGGCAAATCGTACTTGCGGCTTCGTTTATCGCTGTGTTTCGGTTTTGTTTGAAAGATTCAACCCTATTGAACTTCGTGACCCCATTTGGAAAGGTAACTCTAAAAGAATAAGATGGTGAAGCGCAACCGCTGAACATTTGCTAATATTTGTTTCGTGAGAAAACAGCTCCAAGCCACACGAACACACACGGAGCCAAAAGCAGGCCAGAAAGTACGAATATTAGACAAATGTGTGTACTACCCATCATTCCCATGCTCGCTGAAGCGCCGAGCGTTGCAGCTCCCATAGACACTAGCACCAGAGTTTCCTCTAGTGTATATTAGGAAACTCTATGCCTAACACGGCTTCCTGATAACTTTTTCTTTTTGCATGCACAACTGCAAGAGGTGTACAGGCACCGCCCACGGGTGTTTTGCCTGCATTTTATCGTCCGTCAATGACGGACCCACGCATGTTCGTTATAGGGTCATCCCCGAATCTCCGCGGTGGCTCTTGTCGCAGGACCGGCTCTCTGAGGCATCGGCTGTTCTTCGCCGCATCGCCTTCCGAAACGGTGTCGAGCCCCCGATCGACCTCGACCTGAAGCTCAAGGTGAGTGCCTTCCGTCCACCTATGCAGCAAGCGGCGATGAAAAGTCCTTGGAACAACGGGTGTCGATGGGCCAACGTTTAGACAAGCCGAGTGTCTTCTTCAAGGTTGTAGTTGCACGACGTGTTCCGCGTATTTTTCATCTCTCGAAGATTCTAGCTTTCTCTGAACTTCGATACCCAATGTCAGAAACCAAGTACGCATGTTTTTTGTTGTTTTTTTAAGGGTTGAATCTCCTTAGGCTCTCAGGATCTCACAATGTACGTTGACGCCGTTGTCGTAGCCGTCGAGCCGAAACACGGGTTTTACATATACCATACATACAGTGTTTCTAGTGCGTATATAAGTTTAAAATAGACTATACTCTGACCGTTCATACATCCATCCATATATCTGTCTATCCATTCATTCATGCGAGCATCTCTCCATCCACCCGTGCGTGCGTGCTTGCTTGCATGCTTTCGTGTATCTGTGCGTCCGTTCGTGTATATTTGTCTATTCATCCGTCCATGCATCTCTCCGTTCGTGCGTCCATTCATCATTTATACTATGCATGTACGGCGGCTTCAACGTAGACATCATGGACCTTAGGACCTTCCTCCTGTCCATCACCAACACTAACTTTCTTTTACTGCGAAAGTCTTCCAATGCATGATCAAACGTGAAATGTGGCCGTTGGCGTTAACACCAGTAATGTAAATATCATATCGTAACGCCCCCACATGACGTGAATGACGTTCCCACGTGACATTATAGCTTGGTGAAACGTACGCCGATCCCGGAGGCACTAGAAAAAACCCGTCGGATGCAGAAACTCCCGATGAGCTCACGGTTGGGATTGGACTGATAAATACATTACTATCAGAAGAAAAGGAAGGAGGCTTTTACCTTCAAGCTATATTGGGGGAATGCATGATGGACCCTGTGAGTTTTAACTTATATATTTTTTTCCAAAACAGGCCGATAGTAAGACTGACCATCCATCTCTCAGACGCAGAACAGCCCGTGAAACCAACCACTTTTATAGAATATGTGTTTGCACAGAAACCATAGACGTGTGCACAGGGGGGGGGGAGGGGGGGGGGGGTTAAGGGGCAGATGCTTTTTCCCCGGCACTTAAGAAAGAGAGGGGCGCTGCAACAAACCTTCACCCTTCCCCTACCCTGCGCACGACTATTACAGATACCACTTTTAACCTATGTCAGCATGAGCAAGTGACCGAACTATTAGAGAAGGCTACACTTCGTTGATGCTAAGAACTTATTCGTAGTTCAAAAAAAAAATAGAACCATTTATTTCTATTTGCTGATTCACGGACACGAGCCACCTGTTTCACGACACTGCAGAGCATTGGCGAGGTGAAGCATTGACAAGCTCGACCATTTCTTAGACAGCACGAATATTTCTAAATTCAACTGAAATGCTCGGTTCCAGTGGCAAGCATTTAATTTCGTTTAGTGGGTAGTTTTTGCCGATAATAAAGTGTTACTTTTGTTATACAACCATATTTGCCGTGCAAACGGCATATATCCCTCATCTAATGGCTGCATAGGTGATTTTTTTTTTCAACCTATGATATCTTACTTTTTACCCATACAGCAACCACTAAGTTCGGTAGACTTAATAATGACGAAGAAATTACTGAACGAAATAGATTTGTTTCATCAAGAGATTCAGAATCAAAAAGGCATGGATCCAATATTCAAAGCTCCGGATCACATGGGTCACTTCTGCTCCGTGATGTCATGGTTGACCGCATTCAAATTTATGGATTGCAATAAAGCGTCGAGCAGGTGAAAATTCCAGCGGTCCAAGTGCACGGACATCGCAAAGAGGATCGGAATCGGTTGGTGGTTTCGAGAATACGCAGACTCCCGTCCGGTTATACGGGGCTCTAAAAAATTACGCTACGCGCGGCCAAGCGCCACGACCACCTGACCTTTGCGATAGAGCGAGGTTTCGAAAGCTCGAACAATACAGAGTAATGCCCCTGTGGGAAACCGATTGTCGGTCGTTCATTCGCGGCGCAAGAATGGCGTGACCGAGTGCACATGTTAATCTGCTTGAAGACTAATCTGTGTGAAGCGGCGGGTAGCGCGAGAGCTGGCAGACGTTCTGGCGCGCTAATGACGTACGACCGACCTGGAACCCGACAGCATTAGAACGTCTTGATTAATTCTGAATCCGTACAATCACACGCACACTGCAGTTTGAATTTCCCTTCCAGAGAAATCATATTGTTGCGTCAACAAGCGAATACCTTGGCTAACGAGGAACACGACCGTATCAGCGGCGTAGTATCCACGTCCAATCGTACACGACGATGCTGTAGTTGCACTTCCTTTCGATGTAAAAAAAAAAAAAAAAACGCTAGCCTCATAGACCCAAGTACCACTATAAATAAAAAAATACGTAGCAACATCACCCTTATCAGCCCCACGTGACATGTGTGAATATTAAAGGTTATATTAACGCCTGTATTATACTTCGCACCAGGAACACGAATACAAAAGGTCAGTTCTTTCTCCCACACAATAAACGTGGCACAGAATTCTATTATTATTATTATTATTATTATTATTATTATTATTATTATTATTATTATTATTATTATTATTATTATTATTTGTAGTGCGCCTCGGAGAGAGTGATCACTTATAAGGCCTTTTAAAATAGTTTAATAACAACCTACACTTGAAGTCAACACACTGAAAACAAGTTTAGTTTCTCGAGTAATTTGTGTACCAAGAACAACGTAGCTAGTGTTAGTGCTGCTGATAATTCGTAGCTTAAGAGGCTGAAGACACGTAACTATTTTTTGCGGCCAATTTCGTCACGAGCTACATGATTCCTGAACTGTGAACAGCAGACCTGCGAACGGTAATAAGCACGAGTAGGTGTCGTGCGGCTGTCAGAAGCTTGCGTGACTAATCAAATTTATGCTAGTCAATCAAACTCACGCTGTCAGGAACTCGCCTGCATGCATACATACTCAGCCAGATCAATCTACTTATTTTACGATCTACTTAGTCACCTTGCGATTGCATTCTGCTTCTATCAAGATGTTTCTTTTTTCTTTCAGAAAGTTCGGCAAAGCATAAATGTCGAAGAGGAAGCGGAGAAATCGGGTTCCATTATAGACTTGGTCACCAAGCCCAAGATACGAAAAAACTTGCTGATACTGACGCTGATATGGTAAGTCTGCATAACAGGACCTTGATAATAAAATTCGGTCCGAATGAGTGTTTCGCATTGACAAGCTCATAAGAAATACAATACTGAAGAAGTTATTTTTGTTCCCCGAGAAGGTTACATTTTTTTTCATTACCAGCGTGGTGCCTGTTGCGTCCCGCTGCCAGTGACGTCTTCGAGGCGAGCGCGATGTCGCCGCCACTCAGTTCCGCGAACGCAGCGACTGTTGAGGCTGACCATTGTGTCGCGGGACGGTGCGCTGGCGCCACGGCTGGGCCCTGCGGAATGCGGCGGCGGTTTCGGGGAACGAAAGATTCGTCGCTGCTTCTTGGAGGGATGGGTCCACCCGGAACAACTGAGCATAGAGCTGAGGGGAAGTCGGGTTCCGGGTGGACGATTCACCCCCTTGATCCCCCCCTCTTACTGCGGGCCGCCCCTGCCTTTCGTGAAGTGGACTGATGGACCGAGATAGAGGGAGAGGGGCGGCAACGAGAGGGATAAAAAGGACGGAGGAGACGGCGGGCGCAGAAGGGGGAACCACGATGACCAGTTAACTTTTCTTTGAATGCAAATAAATCCCTTTTTTTCAAGTTTCCTAAATGGACGTCCTGCTTTCATGACCTGCCTGATCTTGGTCATCCCACCCAATCTACCCCGACGACGCTACAAACTGGATGGCAGCGGTGGAATCAAAAAAAGGCAGGCAGAAAACTGCGGACGGAAGATCGACTTCTGTGGATCCGGGATCAGCAGAACGAGACCTCGTGGCTCCGGGAGGCACAACCGTCGCAGTAACGGCATGAAGTTTTGGACGACTCCAGGAAACTAAGGACGAGCAGCAGAAGGCAGACCAGACGATCTGGGATCGGCGGTCCTGTGAACGTGGCTCTGGGAGACACGTCCTTCGCCAGCTCGAGGTTGGAAGTAGCTGCGGACGGAAGATCGACTTCTGCGGATCCGGGATCGGCAGAGCGAGACTTCGTGGCTCCGGGAGGCACAACCGTCGCAGTAACGACTACCGGAAACTAAGGACGAGCAGCAGAAGGCAGACCCGACGATCTGGGATCGGCGGACCTGGGAACGTGGCTCCGGGAGACACGGCCTTCGGCAGCTCGAGGTTAGGTGAGTGCTTGAGCGATCACGTTTTGCCGGACGATAAGAACAGGGTTCTATCGGGCAATTGGCTCTGAAGGGCCGCCACAAGTGTGCGGTGAATATTGCAGAAGTATTGGTTGGCTCTTGTGAAGATATGGATATCGGAGTGTTAAAGAAAGAAGAGCTGTTGCTGTTAGCAGTAGAGCTCAGCTTGGATATCAATAGCAGGTTAAGGAAGCCCGAAATTCGCAGTGCGATAATCGAAGGGGGTTTCGAGGAGGACGAGCTCAGCGAGGCCTGGGAAAAGATATGTGAGGAGAAGAAACAAAGGGAGGAAGAAAAGAGGGAAAGAGCGGAAGAGAAGGAAAGGCAGGAAAGGAGAGAACAAAGACAGGCCGAAATTGAGCTCGAGAGAATAAAGCTAGAGCAGGCGAGATTAGCACGCAGTGCAGATGCGGCGCCGCCGCATACTGAGAACCTGAAGATGACGAGTTTGCTTCAGCCGTACAAAACAGGCGAGGACATTGGTCTCTACCTGATTAATTTTGAACGGATCTGTGAGAAACATTCATTTCACCAGGACACCTGGCCAGAGCGGTTGCTTGCGTTGTTACCGGGTGAGGCCTCGCAGGTCGTGGCCAGACTGAGCGCAGCCGAGGCAGGCGTATACAGTTCAGTGAAGTCGACATTACTCGCAAAATACAGGCTCTCCACAGAGGAATTTCGGAGGAGATTTAGACGGGAAAGAAAGAAGCCTGGTGAAAGCTTTGTTGAGTTTGCGTGTAGCCTGAGTGATAATTTTTCAGAGTGGGTGAAAGGAGCAGGTGCGGATAACTTAAGTAAACTGAGGGATCTAATTTGTTTGGAGCAGTTTTATGACACCCTGCCGGATAACGTGCGCCTGTGGGTCAAGGATAGGCAGGAAGGTGTGTCTGTTAGGAGTGCAGCACAGCTTGCCGACGAGTACGTGGCCAGTCGAGGCTTCAGGACCCCGATCAACAGCGCACATCACTATCAAAGGCCTGCACCACGGCCCCAAGCTTACACTCGAGGACCGCAAAGCGCAACAAAAGAGCGAGAGGAAACTAATCAAAATTCGGCGCGTGCTGAAGGCAAGCTGAAAGAGCAGGAAAAGAACAGAAAGGAGGTCAGAAATCATTTAGAAGAGTTAGAGTCGCGAGCTAAGGCGCTATGTTTCAAGTGCAACGAAACAGGTCACTTTGCCCGAAACTGCTCAAAAGGTAGGCCAGTGTTTGCTTGCGTAAGCGATCACCCGAGTAACCTAGATCTTTTGAAACCTTACACGACAGATTTAATGGTTAATGACAAAAGGTGTAGGGTACTCAGAGACTCCGCGGCCACTATGGACGTAGTCCATCCGAACTACGTAAAAAGTGAAGACTACTTATCCGAATGCGCGTGGATAAGACAGGCCGTCAGCGAAGATTCAGTGTGTTTACCTATGGCAAAGGTACACATTCGGGGTCCTTTTGGAGCGATCGAGACAGTAGCAGCAGTCTCCCGTGGGCTACCAGAGGGCTACCCGTACCTTTTCTCGAACAGCTCGGAGTCACTACTCAACGACAGGGGGTGCACTTTTGCTGATGCCCAGGTCATGGCTTTGACGAGATCGAAAGCACGCGTATTGGCTCAGCAGCTGCGTTACGGGGAAGGGGAAGGTGCCAAAGCGAAAGAGTTAACAACTGAATCCGAAGAAGTTAAGCCCGACGAGGCACTTATCCCTATTCCTCCGACCGAAAATCCGGAAAATGGTCAGATTAAGAAGCCGATAATTGAGAAAAGAAAGAAACCTTCGAAAGGAAAAGATCATAGTTTGCAGGGGTCCGTGTTGGCCCCAATCTCGCACAGCTACGAGCGCATGCTAGGGGTTGACAGGGAAGCGTTACGGCTGTCTCAGAAAACTGACCCTAGTATAGCGGTTATGAACAACGGAAACAGTGAAGGTGTTTCGTCAAGAAACATCTCTTTCGAAGTGAGGAACGGTATCCTATATCGTAAATACCGAGATAGGCGAGGGCAGTGCTACGATCAATTGGTGGTGCCATCACCATACCGCAAGGACCTACTCAGTCTTTGTCACGATCACTCATGGGCAGGACACCTGGGCATAAATAAAACCAAGAAAAGATTGCTACAGGAATTTTATTGGCCGGGGTGTTTCAGGGACGTGCAGAATTTCGTGAAGACTTGTGACGCTTGCCAGAGAGCCGGTAGGTCTAACGACAAATGGAAGGCCCCGATGGTAAAAGTGCCCATTATTTCTGAGCCCTTCCGCAGAGTTGTTGTAGATTTGGTGGGGCCGTTGCCGAAAACAAGTGCGGGGAACAGATACATTCTCACACTATTGTGTCCTGCAACGAAGTTCCCCGAGGCGGTGCCCTTACAGGAGGCAACTTCGGTCGAGGTAGTCGATGCGTTGCTTTCTATATTTTCGCGCCTCGGTTTCCCTGCCGAAATGCAATCGGATCAGGGAACCGTTTTCACGAGTGCTCTCACGACCATGTTTCTCGAGAAATGTGGCGTTAAAATTTTGCATAGCTCGGTTTACCACCCACAAAGCAACAGTGTGGAGAGATGGCATGCTACCCTAAAAAAAGTATTGAGAGCTGTTTGCCATGAAAGGAAGTGTGATTGGGATGGTTGTTTACCGGGCACGCTATTTGCGTTGCGCACAGTGCCACACGAGGGAACCGGGTTCGCACCGGCAGAGCTGGTGTATGGCCGGAATCTTCGAGGTCCGCTGAGGCTAGTCCGCGAACTGTGGGAGGATGATCGGGGGCCTAAATGTGTGATCGAGTATGTGTTGAACCTAATGCAAAGGTTACATAAGTGTCGTGAGATCGTGAAGGGCAACCTAGAGGCGAGGCGAGACGCTTCAAAGCGCTACTATGATAGAAATGCCAGGACGCGATCATTCAACCCGGGCGACAAAGTGATGATATTGAGGCCTAATCGCCAGAATAAACTGGAAGTCCACTGGGATGGACCTGCCGAGGTTATCAGTCGCCTTTCGGAAGTAAACTACACCGTGAGATTACCTGGAAGAAAACGCGAGGACAGGGTCTACCACGTAAACCTAATGAAGCCATTTTTAGAGCGAGCAGCAATTGTTAGCATCGCCATGAATGTTTCAGAAGAGGTTTCTCTAGAGGTACCTTGTTTTCCTGGGAACACGGGCCCTAGTGTAGAAGAGATAATCGCGTGTGCAGTTAACAAAGACGAGTTGGGTACAGCTAAAGTCGAGGATCTGAAGAGCCTTATTCAGGAATATCTGGAATGTTTTGGGGAAAGGCTCGGAAGGACTCATTTGGTACAACATGATATCGAGCTGACTACAGAGGTCCCTTTTAGCTCGAAGGCGTACCGCGTGTCTCCGCGACAGCTGGACTTAATGAAGGCGGAAGTTAAAAGGATGCTTCGCCTTGGCGTGATCAAAGAAGCATATAGTGACTATTGCTCCCCTTTGATGTTGGTCGAGGTGCCGGGGAAAGAACCACGGCCATGCGTCGATTATCGCAGGTTGAATGCGATCACAAAAGACCAGGTGTACCCGTTGCCTAACATAGAGGAAAGGGTGGAGCTGGTAAGCCGGGCTACCTTCATTTCAACCCTAGATTTAGTGAGAGGATATTGGCAGGTGCCCTTAACTGAACGAGCAAGTCGGTATGCAGCATTTGTAACACCCTTTGGCGTTTATCAGCCCGTCACCATGGCCTTTGGTTTGAAAAACGCACCCTTCTGTTTTTCAAGGTTAATGGATCGGGTGCTAGAAGGACTAGAAGAATTTGCGGTGCCATATCTAGACGACGTGGCCGTATTTTCTAATGATTGGGAGTCTCATTTGCAGCACACACGAACGGTGCTTGAAAGAATCAAAGGGGCGGGCCTGACTATTAAAGCCGAGAAGTGTCAGTTCGGCCAAGCCCGTGTCACGTATTTGGGACACGACATAGGGCAGGGAAAACGGGAACCAATGAAAGCCAAAGTAGCTGCGATAGTCAACTTCCCAAGACCCGTAAACAAAAGGGAGGTGCGAACATTTCTAGGAATGACAGGCTATTACCAGCACTACATTCCAAATTATTCGGAGCTCGCCAGCACGCTAACCGACAGCCTGCGAAAACCTGAACCGGAAGTGGTAACTTGGAGCACCGAGAGGGAGGAGGCCTTCCAAAACTTGAAGAAAGCTTTGTCTTCTCGGCCCGTGCTTGTCGCGCCAGACTTTAGCCGAGAATTCATTCTCCAATGCGACGCCAGCAACCGAGGTCTAGGTGTCGTCTTGGCCCAACTTAACGAGGGAGGTGAAGAGCATCCGGTGCTCTATCTCAGTCGGAAGCTGACTCCCCGAGAAGAGGCTTTCAGTGCCTCGGAGAAAGAATGTTTGTCCATTGTGTGGGCCATTCAAAAACTAGGATGCTATATTCAAGGCACAAAATTCACGGTCGAGACTGACCACTGCCCGCTTTCATGGCTGAAGCAAATGTCCAATAAAAACGGGAGGCTGTTGAGATGGAGCCTCATACTACAGGAGTATAACTTCGAGGTCAAATATAGAAAGGGGAACCAGAATAAGAACGCCGATGGACTGAGCCGTGGATTTTAGAGTCGAACACTGATTTTCTTGTTGCTGTTTCTTTTTTTACTGATGTGTTTCTATCGCGGCTGAGGTCACGGCATTTAGATTTTTTTCCAAGGGCTGACCACCACAAAAAAAAAAAAAAGAAAGAAAGAGAGGGCAATCATGGGGTAAAATTATGGCAGTTTTGGCGTCCGGTGGGCGTGTCGCTCGGGCACGCCGACCAGAGTGTGTGTGCTTGTGTTGTGTATCCCTGGAACAGGGTTATTGGTGATGCGAGTGCTGAGGCCCAGAGAGGCCGAGTGTTTGCACATGTCGTCTCGACGCTTCAGGTGACCCGACAGTTGGCCACCCTCGAGTCGAGTCTTTCGGCGGCGGAGGAGTCTGTTGCGTCCCGCTGCCAGTGACGTCTTCGAGGCGAGCGCGATGTCGCCGCCACTCAGTTCCGCGAACGCAGCGACTGTTGAGGCTGACCATTGTGTCGCGGGACGGTGCGCTGGCGCCACGGCTGGGCCCTGCGGAATGCGGCGGCGGTTTCGGGGAACGAAAGATTCGTCGCTGCTTCTTGGAGGGATGGGTCCACCCGGAACAACTGAGCATAGAGCTGAGGGGAAGTCGGGTTCCGGGTGGACGATTCACCCCCTTGATCCCCCCCTCTTACTGCGGGCCGCCCCTGCCTTTCGTGAAGTGGACTGATGGACCGAGATAGAGGGAGAGGGGCGGCAACGAGAGGGATAAAAAGGACGGAGGAGACGGCGGGCGCAGAAGGGGGAACCACGATGACCAGTTAACTTTTCTTTGAATGCAAATAAATCCCTTTTTTTCAAGTTTCCTAAATGGACGTCCTGCTTTCATGACCTGCCTGATCTTGGTCATCCCACCCAATCTACCCCGACGACGCTACATGCCTTAGCATCTATGGCGTATAGTGCTTGTAGCCGCAAAGTCACTGGTTCGGTTCTCGGGACTCTCGCGCTCATATTTAATTGGGCGAAATTCAATTAATCTCGCAATTTTTCTGCTACCATGTGCTTTACAGCTGTACCTACATTTTTGCAGAAATCATATGTCAAACTCAATTGCACTCCCATTCTGAAGCTCACGACGCGAACAACCCGTTTGAATCACCTTCTTTATCCAGTTCTTCATGTTGCGCACAAATATGTCTAAATTTAATACGCGACATGGTAGCAAAGCTGTGCAAGACTTGCGGTATAATGCTATGTAAGCTTGAACGGACGCGTATTAAATTCCCCCACGCAGAAGGCACATTTCTATGGAACAAAAATGTTGAAATGCCCCTTCGTACTAAACTTTCGTGCACTTAGATACAGTAGGTGGTCAAAATTAGTGCAGGGTCCACCGACTATATACGGTGTTCCTCATGATCTTCTAGCGATTTTGGCCCATACCATAAAGCCTTCGAAATTTACGACGAAGCTTTCTGTCATAACTGTGATACTTTACCAAACCCACAACGAGGAGTCAACATCGTGCAATCACTTTTCTAAAGATGGCTTTTGGCACGTCCTCCTGGCTTCCCAACGACAACAGCAAAAAAAAAACACAGAAGCAAAAACAAATGTGACATGTTACAGGTATACGTGGCACTTTCAATGGTGCACTGTGCGAAGACCGAACCCCTTATTTTTCTCCGGCCACTCGGCGATATCGAAAGCGATGTGTGTTGCATAAGCCCCGGCGTCTGTGAAGGTTCGGCATTGTTTCGTGACAGTAGCAGCGTCAAGCATTGTTTACCGCCACTTATTGCGTGCCATGCTCCCTGACACGCTGCATACGAAATAAGCATACGTCTATGTTACTATATCAGTATGAATCATATAAATTTGTCCTGGGTGCAAACGGAATACCACAAGATCAGAATCTTTGGCCTTTCAAGACATATACAGAAAAACCTGATTGCTCAAAAAAAAAAGAAAACAATAAAACTACAGGTTTGCTATGCATCATGATGAACACACATATTATCGTCAGTGTTCCTTGATGTGTCTGCAGCATGCCTCAAGAATTAGTTTATTGTTATGTTATCTTTATCTGTTATCTTTATCTTTGTCAGCTTCTCGGCAATGGTGAAGCAGTGAGTGCTATACGAACAAATTGTTATGTTAGACACATAGGCTAGCAGCTTTCTTGGATATGATCCCACGTAGCTCTACAAAACAGTGATGTAAGAGGAAATGCCCGTTCAGAGAAGCCAAGCAGTTTTCGTGACGTAGTCTGAACGTGACGTAAGCGGGCCGTCTGCTGATGCTTGCCGAGATAGTGCACGCGACCGATTTAGCGATCACGCCTAATGGTCAAAGTTCGCAGTTGCTGCTCAAGCAACGCGACCCCTTCCCCAACTGCGGCTCCCCTTCCCCAACTGCGGCTCCCCTTCCCCAACTGCGGCTCCCCTTCCCCAACGCTCTTCCCCAACGCTCTTCTCCCGACGAAAAATGGGCGGGACATATTTCTCTCTGCTTGAGAAGCAATCGACGGCAGGTCTTGCTTGTGGGATGATTTTATCGGGTTCGCCATCCGTGTGACAAAGATGGCCGATTCCTTTCATCTCGGCTTCAGCCGCACTGCCACGGCTGACGGCGAAGACTCGTCGAAAGTGCCGATAAAAATGACTTAAAATTATATATAGAGTACATTGTTTGACAAGCTTTCAGGACTAAGAAGTTCAACTTGGACCTATTTTATTTGGCAGCAGCTCCCAACAGCAGCGAAACCCGGAGAGGTTCGCAAATACTGCTTCACTGTGAAATACAACTTACTTAGCGATGAAACATAGGAATGAATGCCCTAATACTTTCGTTCCTCATGCACATAAGTTCCGCACTGTGATATCCGACGTGTCGGTCTCGACGTTGTTCATCATGCAATTTTTTGTGTCCGTCCCCGCACCCCAGGTCAGCAAACGGCTGCGCATACAGCGGCCTGCACATCAACGTGACTCACTTGAGCGGCAACGAATTCCTCAACTTTCTCTACCTCGCCCTGGTGGAGTTTCCTGCAAACGCAATTGGCTGGTGGAGTATGGACCGGTTCGGCAGGCGTTGGACAAACGTCTTCTTCGTGCTTCTCACGGCTACCGCCTGCTGGGCACCTGTCGTCGCACCAACGTGTGAGTTCAAACAAACTATAAACAAAGAAACAAACAAACAAACAGACAAACGGACGGACAGACGGACGGACGGATGGACAGACAGACAGACAGACAGACAGACAGACAGACAGACAGACAGACAGACAGACGGACGGACGGACGGGCGGGCGGGCGGGCGGGCGGATGGTGGGCGGACGGGCGGACGGACGGACGGACGGACAGACAGACAGACAGACTCCAGACAAACTCTAGTTAAAGATTATCTCTTACTAAATAGGAAACCGAAGAAAAAGAAAGGCCGCCCAGCTCCGCACTTCTTTCAGGCTTGGAAAACCTAATTCGAAGATGCTTTATTAAATACTTTTTCTTTTCGAGAGACGAACGCGTACAAAAACTCCGCGTGAGGTTTCCACACGACAGAAAATGCATAGATGTTTTGTTCCTACGAACAGCTTTGTGCCTCTCGGAGGCGATGCAAAAAAAAAAAGAACAAGAACATCAGAGTCACCTGGTACTAAAGTTTGAGGGCAATGTCTTTACCAGCTGTTCCTTTTTATAGCACAAAACTGCGCTGACAGAAAACAAAGTCATTTCTACTTCCGTGAGTGTAACATAACCAATACTGCTTCAGATCACCAAACTCTTAACTTCCTTTTTTAAAGAGGAACAGGTTGCATGAATTTATATTGAGTACGCATTTTCGGCACTCCTGCCCCTTTTGCGTTGTTATGCCAGCGAGTCCCCGTCAAACGTCCGTGCCTCGGAAAAAGGCAATCTGGGTCAAGGCCAGCCCGCAGTCTGCCTGACGCGAACATCTCAACGGCGTGAACACGCGCGGCGCCTCTCTCGCCCACGTGCATTGAGTCAGCGGCGCACGTGACAGCGAGCCGGCGTTCTCGTGTCGGGTGGTCTGACGCATGGCGCGGCAACCCCATTGGAAGAATCTGCGCTGACGACCAGCGGCGCTTCTGATTGGACATTTTGGGTGGACCCGGTGTAAATAAAAGAAGCCCTGCGGCGCGTCGCGATCGGCGTTCCTATGAGCGAGGAGACCCCATGTCGGAGGGCCGACATGTATGCGAGTCAGCGGTCTTAGGCGAAAGGCTGAACTATGTGTTAGAGAGAAGAGCTCGGCTCTTCGAGTCTCTGTCGGCCCCAGTGCCGAAATTGTAACGCCTCTGTATATATGCTGTACATAAACCTTGTTTAACTCACCGTCGTCTCGTCCGCTCGTCTTATCAGCTCTGCGCAGAAGCAGTCGCGAGCTGATAAACATACGCTACCAAACGGCTGGTGACCTTCCCGGCGGAGTTGAAAGCAGTGGCGCCTCCGGGGCCGTGTTGGCGTCGCCGTCTTTCGCAACAGTGGTGGCTTCGGCGGGATCGGTCCGTCGTACGCAACAGTGGTTGGCAGCTGCGGGATCGGCCGGCGTCAGCGACATCGATGCGGTGAGTGCCTGATGTTTTCCCCTCAGTTCACCAGACTACTCTAGCTCAGGTTGTAGTAGTTTAGAGAAGGGCTGTGTGAAGCATTAGAGTGAGCTTTGATCGTTTCAAGCAAAGTCGAAGTGCTTTGAAACCAAAGTTAATGCGGAGGGGGTAAACACGGGAGAGTGAAAAATTGCTTGCGCGTCTTGCTAGTTGACTTATAGTGGGTACGGCAAGTAAATTGTTAACAGGGGCAAACAGCAAGAGGCTAGTGTGAACGATGGAGAACCTTAAGGTGAAGGAACTCATCGAAATTTGTGAGGAACTCGGCATTACTTTGGGCCGTGCGAAACGAAAGCAAGCGATCCTTGAGATCATGAAGGATGAGGGAGTGTCGGCTGAGGAAGTCGATGAGGCCTGGGTGGATATTAAAGCACGCCGTGAGGAGGCTGAAAGGCGAGAAGTAGAAGCTCGCGAAGAGGCTGAAAGGCGCGAAGCTCGCGAACGTGAGGAAGCTGAAAGGCGTGAACGTCGCGAGCGCGAGGAAGCTGAAAGGCGTGAACGTCGCGAGCGCGAGGAGGCCGAGAGACAAGAGCGCCTAGAGTTGAAACGACTAGAATTGGCAATCCTACAGTGTTCGCAGGCGCCTAGCGTAGCTTCTCCGACGATTCAGGTCAGCGGTTTTAGAATTCGGGACCAACTGCCACCGTTCGTAGTAGGCGAGGACATGGCGAAGTATCTCGTCAAGTTTGAACACGTCTGTGAGCGAAACGCTTTGGAGCGGCCTCTTTGGGCGCGGAACCTGTTAGCTCTTCTTCCCGGCGAAGTGTCCGACGCATTAACTTGCTTGTCTAGGGAAGCGTTTGAGAGCTATGACGAGGTTAAGGAAGTGCTCTTGAGACGTTATAAGTTGTCACCCGAGGCTTTCAGGCAAAGGTTCCGGTATGCTGAAAAGGGGAATGAGTCACACGTTGACTTCGCGTTTCGTCTTAAAGCCGATTTAATTGAATGGCTCAAGGGCGAAGGTGTTTATGATGATCGCGATAAAGTGGTGGAATGCGTTGCACTGGAGCAGTTCTACCGCTGCATCGAGGATAATGTCAGACTTTGGCTGCAGGACAGACTTAGTGAAGTACAGCTAAACAAGGCAGCAGAGTTAGCTGAGGAGTATTATACTCGCCGAAAGTTGCACAGCAGGGCAGTGCGCGTTGAAAAGGATGAAAAGAAAGAGGGCTTTTCAAGGAAACCTGATCAACGGAAACCCGTTCCGCACCGTAATTTCAAAAAGGACCCGTCTCTTACGAAGGACAGTGTAGGGGAAGGGCAAACAGAAGCGGAGAGATCGAGTGAGGTTTCTACCACACAGGCATTTGAATCGGAAAACAAACGGAAGCCGCTAATCTGCTACAACTGTAAAAAGGAAGGGCACATCGCGAGAAACTGTCAGGAAAAGTTTGCCTTCGCAACGATCCGAGAATCAGAGAAAAACATTCGGTTGTTGGAGCCGTATCTCCAAGAAATTAGGGTGAATAAGAAAACGTGCCGAGCACTTAGAGACTCAGCGGCAACCATGGACGTTGTCCATCCTTCATTGGTGTCTCCGGATGACTTCACAGGAGAATGCGCGTGGATCAGGCAGGTCGCCGAGGAGCAGAGTGTTCGCTTACCAATCGCCACCGTTGTCATTGAAGGCCCGTTCGGTAAGCTTTGCACCGAAGCAGCTGTGTCTGCCGCGCTGAACGATCGTTTTCCTTATCTATTCTCCAACAACTCAGAGCAGCTTCTCAAAGAGCAGGGCAAATCGTTCTTCCCCAACTTAGCGTGCATGGCTCTCACGCGATCGCAAGCGCGAAAGCTTTCGCGGAAGCTTGACTTGGTTCCATGCGGTGAACTCTCAAGTGACCTTGTCGGCGGGTCGACGGAACCCCAGAAAGGAAATTTTCCGCATGAGTCATGTGAGCAGTCACGCGAGCGGCCCGTCGCGGGAGCGGCCGGCGCGGTATGCGCTGGGGGAGACGACGTGGCGCCATTGAGTCAGAGCGAGAGGGTTGCAACGCTCTCGCCTGTAGCGGAAAGTTGGAGCGAGCTGCCGAGAGTTGATCGAGAGACGCTCATTCGAGGGCAGAGTGAGGATCTCTCGATTGAAGCGCTAGTGGAAAGCCAAATTGAAGCGCTCGTGGAAAGCCAGAAAAACGCGGCAAAAGTGCTGTCGAAGGAGCACTACGAGAAATCGGGGAAGAAGCGCGCTTTTGAAGTTGATAATCAGGTAATGCGGCTGCAGCCATCCAAAAGGAACAAGCTTGAGGTTGATTGGGAGGGGCCCGCCAAAGTATTATCGAAGCCTTGCGATACAAATTATGAGGTGCAAGTAGGAAGGCGGCAGCACAAAATTTACAACTTGATGAAACCCAATGTTCAACATCAAGCGGTCGTAAATCAGCTGTTGAAGGCTTCAGTGGAAGAGGAAGCAGAAAATTTGAGTTCTAGTGAGGTGATCGAAGGGAGATCGAAAGTAATTTGGGAGCAGATAAACCTAGAGCCTAGGTTAAGTGAAGGAGGACCTGAGAAAGAGGACCTGAGAAAGATTGGTTCCGAGTTTGAAGACGTGTTTTCGGACCGCCCCGGAAACATGAGGGTGATCGAACACGATATCGAGCTAAGCGGTGAGGAGTCAATCAGTAGCAAGCCGTATCGTTGTTCCCCTGTGCAACGTCGCAAGTGTGAGCCGCTCTTGGTGCCGCATAGGTATCGTCGCCTAAAAGTGGCCGGTTACTGAGGTGGAGCATGTTGCTCCACAGCGCAACTTTGACGTTCGCTAAAGAAAAAAAAAGGGGGAAAGGTAAACGCTAATGCAGGTGCATTGAGCAGTGCGTTCCAGCTAGTAACTTCTCAACCTTTCGGTTTCTCGCTGGCGATTCGGGGCAAAATTTTGACCTCATCACGACCTGGGCTGAGCGCTCTCGTTCAGAGTGATCTCAAGGGGCCAACTTTATGTGGTATTCTAATTCGTTGCGGGGTTGTAATTGTGAAAAATTCAAGTTCTTACTTTAGGAGTCTTTTGTCCCACATGTGCCTCTTGATGTAGAGGGAACGAAATTTCGATAGACACGTAGATAGGTATATGTTGTTCTATACTTTGTCTGGTGTTCTGTTGGGTGACCGAGGGCACTTGCTTGTGTCGTGTGTTGTCTGTTGTCGAACCGTTCTTAGCAAGTTGCAGAACCATCGACAAGTGCTGAAACCGAAGATGGTCAGAAGAGACGAGTGAAGCTGGTCAGCAAGTTGTGACGACGAGCCAGTGGAGCTGGGATCTGTCGTCCAAAAATGGGATGTGTTCCCGGAACAGTCTGGAGCTGTATTCTCCCCATGGCCCTGGAGGCGAACCTGGAGGGACCTGGCGAACGAGCGCACCTGACATCCGAGCCCCGTGGAAGCAGCTCGTCTTTCCGGTGCATTGTCTGGCGGCGGGGGTGCTGTTATGCCAGCGAGTCCCCGTCAAACGTCCGTGCCTCGGAAAAAGGCAACATGGGTCAAGGCCAGCCCGCAGTCTGCCTGACGCGAACATCTCAACGGCGTGAACACGCGCGGCGCCTCTCTGGCCCACGTGCATTGAGTCAGCGGCGCACGTGACAGCGAGCCGGCGTTCTCGTGTCGGGTGGTCTGACGCATGGCGCGGCAACCCCATTGGAAGAATCTGCGCTGACGACCAGCGGCGCTTCTGATTGGACATTTTGGTTGGACCCGGTGTAAATAAAAGAAGCCCTGCGGCGCGTCGCGATCGGCGTTCCTATGAGCGAGGAGACCCCATGTCGGAGGGCCGACATGTATGCGAGTCAGCGGTCTTAGGCGAAAGGCTGAACTATGTGTTAGAGAGAAGAGCTCGGCTCTTCGAGTCTCTGTCGGCCCCAGTGCCGAAATTGTAACGCCTCTGTATATATGCTGTACATAAACCTTGTTTAACTCACCGTCGTCTCGTCCGCTCGTCTTATCAGCTCTGCGCAGAAGCAGTCGCGAGCTGATAAACATACGCTACCAAACGGCTGGTGACCTTCCCGGCGGAGTTGAAAGCAGTGGCGCCTCCGGGGCCGTGTTGGCGTCGCCGTCTTTCGCAACAGTGGTGGCTTCGGCGGGATCGGTCCGTCGTACGCAACAGCGTGCTACCTTTCAAAGTTTTCAATTCATTCAAACATACCGATCAGCTGCATCTGGCATAATGAAATCTCCAACGCGATTTATATACAATGTGGATTATTTTCACAGGTAAATACTCTAGACTCCGGAACCCGTCCAATGGCCGCAGAATATCAAAACTTCATTAGGCTTTATTCGACGATACAAGAAATTAGCATAGAAATCTACATTGGCTCTTCTCAACGCTTTGCTTTCAAAGCATAGAATTCTACAGTGACCATTCTCAACGCTTTGCTTTCAACTTTGCCCTATCACAGAAACAGCAAGCGATAAACTTGGCAGCACATGTGTAGGCGTACGCAAAAGTACGCTGCAGTTAGTCTTTTTTTTTTCATTCTTCGTTTCACATGGCTTGAAAAGAAAATTAAAGAGAAAAAAATAATGTTAATGACTTCCCACTCCAAGCGCAACACCCGTCAATACTTCTGCCTCAAAGGATATTCTCCATTGAAACGCTTTCAAAGAAACTGCAAAATTCTGACGGCTTTCTTTGTAGTTTTGTGCACCATAATGTCTTTAGAAGTGCTAATGACGGTTGCCAAACTTTTCGCGTAGCTCACAAATGCGAACATTTGAGGACAATACTTTTTTTTATTTTCTCTCTCTCTCTTTCTCTCTCTCTCTCTCTCTCTCTCTCTCTCTCTCTCTCTCTCTCTCTCTAAAACTCAGACATCCCGGTTGAACGCTCAGTCAAACTCGAGAAAACTTATGCTGCCCTCGGCTAGCCTAAAATATAAAAAAGCTGTGTCTACGCTGCGTTTCACCAGTGCTTTCAAATAGTCGAAGCTTTCCGGTAGAACAGAGTTCAATGCAAAGCGCATGGCGTTCGGCTAGGGAAAAAAATTCTCCATAACTTCTGCATGAAGCATAAAACAGCGTTCTATGAAGACAGAAGTATAAAAATTAAAGAAGGCATGAAAGTAAAGCTTTTTGCTAATGCAAAAGTATCTATATTAGGTAATCCTGATCGCCATGAATCAATAGGCTAACAAATATGTTCACCTTGCTAGATAGCTTTATTTCCAACTCAGCAAGACCACTGCAGGCTTCCTCTAGATACATACATGCATGTAAAGTGAACTTTACATACCATAGACTTTCCTAAAATTAACTAGGTAGGACTCTGGCCCTGCGATCGTTCAGACACCGCGAAAATCATGGGTATAGTACACAAATATGCATCTTGCTTGCGGACTTCAAACGCGCTTGCGGCTTTGGTAATTGCTGCGTTTTGCATGTGTTTCGAATAAAAGAACAGATAATTGTGAACTTCGTGACTCGATTTCAATTCGTGAGCCTAAAATACTAAGGTAGTGAAGTGTGACTGCTGAAAGTTTGCCCGTTGCCGTTTCGAGACAAAAGCTCCAAGCCACGCGAAGTGCTCCCATATGTATGTATGTATGTATGTATGTATGTATGTGTGTGTGTATATATATATATGTGTGTGTGTGTGTGTGTGTGTGTGTGTGTGTGTGTGTGTGTGTGTGTGTGTGTGTGTGTGTGTGTGTGTGTGTGTGTGTGTGTGTGTGTGTGTGTGTGTGTGTGTGTGTGTGTGTGTGTGTGTGTGTGTGTGTGAGAGAGAGAGAGAGAGAGCACTGCATGTGAATGACTCTTCATTCTCTTTGCATATCACCACTTGTACACATATTCGTCATGTGTACATATTACCGCGTTCCGCCCTCAAGTTTTGTTATCACATCGTTGCTCTGTCAATAATTCTCAGCACAAACCACGCCTACACTGTTCGAGAAACTTCGCGATGGCAGTAGATCATTTTGTTAAGATTACGCCCACTTTGTGAACATTACAGATTATTCTGGAACATACGTCGCCGCTAGCGCTAACGCTAGAATACTCGATGGCAAGTTAATAAATGCCGATACGATTCGCCACTTGTCAGTTGATCGACGGCCGACGCTCTGTTCGCCGCTATCAGTGCCACTGTCTTATTTTCCTTTCGCGTGGCCACAAGTGCGGCCCGAAAAAACAGTTTCTTCTTCGGCCTGGTGTTTGCTCTCTTCGTTCGCGTTACGACCCCTTGACAATATCATGATCACTGTGATTTAGCTCATTCCTGGCTCAATATAGCTGTTAAATAATGCGAATAAAGCAAAAGAAAGAGCTATGATGTGCTATACTTATCCATTTCGATCTGTGATTAAGCTGTCTGCCCTGCTTACGACGCAGCCGGCACGGTGGGAATCGTATCCTCCGTGGTGGCCAAGTTCTCTACCACGGCGGCGTACATGATGATGTACCAGCAGTCGGCCGAGCTCTTCCCCACACCACTACGTTCCTTTTCGGTCGGAGTACTCACGGCTCTGGCCGCGGTATTCACTGCGTCGGTACCATACGTCGTCTACCTTGTGAGTACTCTAATCTAACAATGACACGTTGCACTTCAGTTTCACGTTACTTTCCTATGGAGGCCATTACACGATCAACCGGAAACTGGAGGTTTTCAGCGTAATATAGAAGTAGAGAGCATGTTGCGCCGGTAAATAAAAAAAAAAGCTTGACTGTACAAGAATATTTAGGTGCAAAACTAGCCCTATAGAGGTCGCTGCTATAACACCCACCAACCGCCAGCGACCATCATTTTTGCATGGTACATGTGTATGGCGTCGTGTGGTGCATGGAGCGGAACCCTCGTGTTTTACCACAGTTAAAGCCACTGCAGACCATTAAATTTTAATGCCGAGCCGAACAAAGCTGAAATAGCTCGACGAAACGCGCAGACGACCACAGAACAGAATCGAGGATTCGCCGGCACAGAGACGCCGATACAGCAAACAGGTCATTACGTCATTAGCCCCGAGTGCGCCATTGTTGTCCGGCTCGTGTTAATAAAAGCTTTCGATTACAAATCGGCGCTCGACCAACTGCGCTGAAATATGCCAGCTAGTTTGTGAACGCACATGAGTTAGCGCACATAACACAGACTATGATCGAAAATTGCGTCTCTAGGCTTCTTCAATTTTACTTGCGGTGAAGTAAAACCACAATTTAGGTAGTTGCGAGACTATTCTTGCATTGTGTGCAAAGTATGTTTACGAGAATTCCTTAGTAATATTATGAGGTCTTGGTTTGGAAGACCTTTATTAGGCCCGAGGAACCGGCAGCAGACAGCGGAGATGCACGAACCAAGATGATGGTGAAAACGATGAGGATGCATGAGCAATACATGATAGTGATGATAATGTACAGATGAAGAGGATTGGTATACTAAATGCCCACAATATATTGTTCATTAAAAATAAAATGTGATCGAAATTTGTCATCATACCCAGCGTTCACACGTCACTCTGACGTCACCACTTGAAGTAAATTAATTCTCTCTCTTTCTCCGAGTTTCCAGTTCTCTCAACTCCAAACGACGTATTATATGATTATTTGTCCTTTTCACTGCGTGAGATCACTGTCTCATTTGAACTGCCGTTGTAATCATCCCTTTTAATATTGAGTGTGACTAACACTCCACACAATGCAGGGTAGGTATGGCTCATGGATTCCATTTCTTTTCCTGGCTGTGCTGACGACAACCGGTGGAATTGCGGCGGCCTGGCTACCTGAGACGAAGGATTACCCTCTCTGCCAGACGGTTGAAGACGCCGAGAAATTTGGTCACGACCAAAAATTCTTCTCGTTCAACAGGCAAGCAGCAACGCCTAAATCGCAAGCAAAATGTACAAGCGTGTTACAACCACGCGTATTACTTCAAGCTTCTCTTGTTGAACGAAATGGAAATGATCCACAAGCTCATTTTTTCGTTAAGCGCAACCTAACGACGGTTACAGACAATGAATCCAAGAAGTTTATGGGGGACATTATTTGTAATCTTTAGCTGTAGTAGCAATTATCCCGTAAATGCATAGTAGTCGGAGTGGACAAAAATCAAGGTTTCCGACGCTAGGGAATGAACGTACTACCTTCGGACAACGCGTCCGATGCACTACCAATTATTTCGTCGTTAATAAGAAGAAAGATAACGTGAAAAGGTCGGCTTCCACAGAGACCACTATTCAAATACTACAGATATATTACTAACTAACGAAAAGAGATATAAAAAATGGAAGTAAACATTCCGACGTACCGTACAGAACTCTAGAGCACAAAAAAAGTCTTTCCGAGCCCTAGGGCCACTCAAAAACCGAGCGTACAAATAACCGTTTATGTTCTTACATTAAAACTCGGTGGTCATAGTACGAGCCGAATAAAAACAAAAACAAGCGCTAAACATTGTTATGTGTAAATTTACCATGTAGTTACTCCAATAAAACCATAAAGAACAATTCCGACATCCATCTGGCATCAGGGCAAAACGTATATCTATGTGTTTGGACGATCAGGCGAGAAGACCATTTTAAGAGCCTTGCATATGATAACGAAAAATTCCGTTAGGTATGAACAAAAACTATCATCATCATGACCGCATTAACTCGGCTGTCACGCCCTTTCCTCGTCCTCTTCTTTATTTTTCGCCCCGCTCCCAAATAACGCACGCCGATTGGACCGGCGTGGCATGCAATAACTTGGATGGACGAGAAAAAAAGAGTACATAGAAAAACAGAAACAGATAGAAAAAATGACTAAGGAAGAAACATGGGAAAAAATGAATGAATCGAGAAAAAAGTCACAGGAAAAGAAAGAGAAAGAAGCAGACACACAAAAAGAGAAAAAAAAGCAGGCAGCAAAAGAGAGAACTAAGGAAAGAAACGAAGAGATAGAGATAGAAAGTGATATAGAGAAAGAAAATGTTAGATAAATAAGGCCTACCATAGCCACTCATTGACAGTATGCCAAAAATATCGAGAGTGACGAGTAGTAGGAAGAGGAAAAGAAAAATATAAGATTAGTAAAGCCATGTACAGTATGTAAGGAGGTGGGAAAGGGAAGTGACAGTGAGGAGGAATGATGTGAAGGTGAAGAAGAGGGTAAGGACAGTGGAACGAAAGATATATGGGTGAAGCCTATCATAGCTATGCATAGTATATAGTATAGCTGCTTCCTGTGTAGCTGCCCTAACTTTTTTTTTTTTCGTATTGAATGAGCTACGAGAAAATAACCCAGTGAATGGCCAGTAAATATTCCACTCGATGGGTATGTGACACAACGGATGAGGTACAGAGGGTGTCATCTAAGTATGTATGCGCAAACGATGAACGACCATGCGAAGCACGAGGTTTTAATCATTAAACTTTGTGAAAACTATAGAAATGTTACAGTTTCACAATATGTATAAAAAAACGATTGCATATGTTTCCTTCCATGAACCTTTACTCACCTTGCGGGCTTTCGCAGAACTGACTTTTTATTCACAGAAATGAATACATAGTAAGTTCATCGAGCTCCCATTCGACAGGATCACCATGTCCTTTCGGAGCTTCGCAAAAACGTGATGTCATGAATGAAGCAAGTTGAATAATTGATCTTTAAAAAATGTGATACCACCACTGACGTGTGAACAAGTAAAAAAAATACCATCACCCCCTCCCCCCCCCTCCCCAACCCGTCATTTAAGGAAGGCGCCAAGCGTCTGGCATGTGCCATCGTTGTTTGAATTTGCAGCATTATGGTGAGGAAGGTTTTTGACCATAACAATGGCCGAATACCTCAAACGTCACGTTCAGAAAACTGTTTACTTTTCCACATTTACTCCCGCAAAAAGAAGAACCAAAGGCGGGTCGTAGTGAGAAGCACGTCATGGCGTCATTTTATTTACAGCGAGAGCTGTTACGAGATCATAACAGCCGATTTTGGTGCCGTGTGCGTAGTCTGCCCCCGCCGTCATCCGTAGCATCTTTTAAGCGAAATTTGAAAAAAAAAAAGAATATTTAAACCAAGCGGGATTTGAATTGAGGCACCCTACGTGACAGTCAAGTACACTACTGCCGAGCCACGCCCTTGCTTGAAATTCGTTCGTAAAAAAAAACCCTATACAGGCGTCATGTCGGGGCGAGAAATCACGTGAACATATGTAATGTAGCGTGGTAGAAAAGTAAAACAATCAAGCATCACAAAACACTGCCAGCATAACGAGTGAGTGGGTGACGAGACTTCACCCCTCCTTCTCCCCCTTTCTCGCCTCTGCTTCAATTGAGAACCGTGTGCACGCCTTTGATAACCGCAGCAGTGCACAAGAAATACCCCCGTATTCTAGAACGTCCCTTCACTCAACGCTCCACCTTCACTTGAGAAAGTTGATGAGAGCGCCGTCTCTAGTCACGACAAGTCACTACACATGAGCAATAATCTGCTGCGACTCCTGAGTAGCGCAGCGCCATTTTCAGCCGAGAGGTGGCGCAGTGCTCAACTTTGTCAAGTGAAGGGTGAAAGTTGAGTCGAGGAGGAGCGTTTGTGAATACAGGGGACAGTGTGTAACATGTTGTGACGAGCTGAGTCTCGGATGCGTAAACTGACGACATCTTTCTATTCCTGTTTTGTGAACAGGATAAAGAAATCTTCGAAGAGTACAAGACGTGCCGAAGAAAACGGCGAGAAGACAGTCGAACTGCAACCTCTGCAAGCGGAGGCATGACCGATTCGCCCACTGCTTCGCCGTGCCTCTTGTCAATTTCGACGAGAAAGAGCCATCGTGTGCGTTGTGACTTGTGACAGAACGGCATTGTGATGACGTTGTTTTGACGTGGCGAAACATGATGACTCATTACTCGTGCTTCAACGCTGACGCACCGTCCCGTGCGCTCCTGAGAAACATTGTAGCAAAGCACAGAGCTCGTTTCGCAATATTTTTGGGGTTAACCCACTACGACCATCTCACTAGTAAATACGTGAGAACACGTATGACTCGACAATAGACGACCTCTTGAGAATGCTTATTATACACAGAGTCATGCAATGAGCGCTAAACTTTGTAAGAGAATAGTAAAACAGACGATTGTTCTCATGCCAAAACTTTTTTTTTAATTAGCGCTTGCCCCTATTGGATCCAGCGTTCTTCCTTTTCGAAAATGTTTTTTTTTCTTTACTTTTCTCCGGGCATGAGGAAAAAAGCTGGTTCAACTTTGCACCCTCACTTAAACATGGAAACAGAAGCAGCTAAATTCTGGACATGCTTTACCTGTAAATTGTGCGATCTGTAGGCCCGTGTTCAAAAGATTACATCACTAACACTGTACTATTCTTTTGCTAGCTAACTTTTGTTGTTGGTGTTTAACGTCCCAAAACCACCATATGATTATGAGAGACGCCGTAGTGGAGGGCTCCGGAGATTTCTACCACCTGAGGCTCCTTAACTTGCACCTAAATCTAAGCACATGCGCCTCAAATATTTCGCCGTGGCCGGGATTGGCTCCCGCGACCTGCGGGTCAGAAGCCGAGCGCCTTAGCCACTAGATCACTGTAGCTGGTGCTAGGAAACATTTTCAGTGGGTGGGGCACTTGATTAGTACTTTCCCACAGTTACCATAAAAGTATGGCAACGAGGCAACCAATTACCTAATAAGAAATCACTCATGGCGGGAGATATTGTAAGACAGCAAGCATTGCATGACATGAATCACGTGGCAGGAATATATTCGCCGAAGCCCGCACTTGCCTGTTCTTGCATATAGCCGTAGATGAAAGTGCTGTAAGGATAACGTAGGGGCCCCACGGACACGTAGGACGCTATGAGACTGTGGTGCATAGAGGCTAACTAGCACCGCTAAGTTTTCTAACGCGGATAACGTATGCTTATAGAACATCTTTCATACATTTGGCGGTGGAGGGTCTATTGAATATGTCTAAAACAAACGTAGCACTTTGTGTTTTTCAATTGCGAGTGAACACAACAGCGGCTGCTGATTCCTAAAGTTCGTGAGAGTGGCAAAGCATCGAGAACCTTCTGGCGACCTGCCATGGTGGTCACGTGGCTATGGCGCTCGACTTCTGACCCGTAAGTAGAGAAATTGAGTACCAGACGCTGCGGTCGCATTTTCTATGGAAGCCAGAATTCTCGAGACCCACGTACTTAGATTTAAGAGCGCAAATAAAGAACCCTGGGTAGTCAAAATTTCCGGAGCTCCCCAAAACAACTCCGCTCATAATGGTGTCTTGGCTTTGAGACGTAAAACGCAAACCGTTATTATTTCGCTATTTTTGAGCAGATAGCTGCATTTTCGCAGCATCGTGAACGCGTGACTGCGCGTTTAGCATGTTCATGTGTATCGACGGCGAAAGCAGTAGAGACAAAGACGGCCCGACGCTGCGCTTTTCTGTCCAGCTATACTTCCTTTTCTCCCCTCTTTTTTTCCCCATTCCAACCCTCCCCTTTCTCAAGGGCGTTCACACATGCCATTGCCCGCGAGCATTGTTCGCTGCCGGTACCGTTCATAGTTGTTCGAGTGCTGTTTTGCAATGTTTGAACGGAGCGGTTTCGTAGGCGCCAAAGATGACTGTGGACGTCTGTAGGAAGCAAGGCTAACACGCCCGTTTCCGATGATATAAACATTTTTTTAAAGTTCGTGGCACGGGCTCCAGGAGCAGCACATTGTGAGAACGCGTCAAATGTATCGTTCTACCGGTGTCAACCAATCTTAGCATCGAATCTTTCAAATGAACTAAAAATCACGGCACCAAAACTTTTATTCAGTACCCTTGTCAAAGAGGTTTTACATCACATGAATCGTCTCTAGGGAAGCCTCCGAACTGTGTATTAGGTAGTGCTCTCCACAACCTTCAACTGGGTCGTCCTCTTCTCCTTCCGGATAGAGCGCCGCTCGCACTGAGAGTTCGTGTTTTTGCCTCGATTATCGCCATTACGTATTGTCACTGAGTTACTTCAAGCTAGAGGGTACTAGTACGCACTAGAGGGAAATAAACACCTTATCGGATTGAAGGTGAGTGCTGTGCCCTCACAATTTCGGTCCTCATTCGATGCCTATGGCACTTGGATCCCATATCCTGCCCTATATCATGGCTCAGGACACCGTCCAGCAAACGCCTTCGTGCGGATGGTACCGACGTGTAGAACTGGCTCGCGTTTTACGAGTGTGTGAGAGTCCCCAATAAATATGACATAGCAGAAAAACTGACAAACTTAGTTTTCTACCTCGCGGCTGTGGCAGGCTTGGGGTGCAACAACGACCTGTCATACTTGTCGACGTGGTTCGACTTCTAGACTACCATTATCAACGTGTTTGACCACCCGGATAATCGTCAGCTGCAGGCCGAACAGCATTTGCGTGAACGAACTCGGCAGGCTTGAGGATTCTCCTTCAGCAGCTGCATCGAAAATGTCCTCGACTTGGGTCAGGAGGCCAACGCCACCATGTCAAAATCGGACAAGATCAGGCACATTACGAAAGTCACCGATGATGAGGCCTTGAGCATGCTGCTCACCTAAAACCCCAGCACAGTGCCGAGGTCCTAATGCTGTGCCAAAGCTATGAAGAGCTGCGCCGGCTGCGAACGACAACACGTCCCTCTCCATGTTGTGACGCCGAGGTCCCTGGCTTCTCGACCATATCTGACCAGTACTCGCTGCTCGCAGAGCAGAAGTCATTTGTGAATGAGGAAATCGCGTGCCAGTTCTTTATGCTGGACTTTGCTTACTGGCAGCCCGTTCGACAGCCGTCCACCACACTTTTGCTTGCTCTCGACCACATCATTGAGAAGGAAATCGCGGAATTCCTGCCTGAGTTCTACCAGCCCCTTCCGGCTCCTGCACCACTCAGTTACGCTCACGTTGTTGCAAGGACGCCCGCAACAATTGTGCGGTTGCCTCACACAGTTACGCCGAAGCCGCCGCCAGACCTCAGTCCTTTGAACAGAGTGCACCGGCTACCCACGTCATGCACAGGCCACGAATGCAGCCCACAATGAAGTTTCATCAGCTGCCGCCCCTTTAATCACGTCCTTCATGATGGGTCGACCCTGCCCCAGCGACCCAATGGCGCACATGTGACAGCCCATTTGTTTCTAATGTGGTTACATCGAACACGTGGGGCGTTATTGCGATTGTATGCAGCCACCTCGAGTCACGTCGCGTGCCACCAGCCAGTCGAACCACCCATATTAGGACGCCACTTGAAAGCGCTTACACAGTTCCAAGGCTTCGCCACACTTCAAAACATGCCGCCACTGTGTTTGGCGAGACGAACAATTTCATCGCGACCAAGCATGTTACCGCACAGCGCCCAACAGCTGCCAATTCGGTCAACGCGGATGCATTATTCGCAGCTGCGTACAACGTGACCTACTTTGCAAGGTCGAATGTATCGTCTGAGGCGATGACGACAGTAGGAAATAATAGAAGGGAAACAAAAACACAGCAAACATAACCAGCAACACCGCACGACAGACACGTCTCTCTCTCTCTCTCTCTCTCAACTCTAACACGTCACGTTTGGCACAAACATCGTGTACAAGGGTTTCTTCGCGTCTCTCGCCATCTGTCGATTTTTCGTTCTCTCTGTAGTTCTCGCGAGCCTGGCTGGTCACACAGATAGCTGCAGCAAGCACACGCCGAAACTCTATTAAGCTCGACTCCGCTTCCACGTTTGGATAAGCAATATGAACCATACGAAGCTTGTGTGTTCGTAATCTTGTTACTTTTATTCTTCACAAGGGAGAGGAGGCGCTCCCCTGAACGTAAACAGGGGGGATATATTTCTGGCACTGTGCAGTGCTCCCGCAACGGCAGCAGAATGTAGCGGCGTTTTTCTCTTGTTTTTCGTTATTTTTTTTCTCAAAGACCACTTCTTCATCATCACGGAGTCCTGCAAAAGTCACCATGGAGTTCGAGGACGTGATCGAAGAGCTTGGAGGGTTCGGCAAGTTCCAGAAGTTCCTTCTCTGGGGCTTCCTTCTGCCTTCGGAGATACTGTTTTCGCTCATCTCGATGAACATGATATTCCTGCTGTCCGAACCCCGCCACGAGTGCGTGGTGCCGCAACTGGATGCACTCGGACTGAACGAATCTCGGGTCTCGGAGATTCGCCAACTGCTCGTCAGCGAGGATGAGTGCGAGGTGTCGCCGATGCGACCTCTCAACTCGACGCGTTTCGCGGGAGAATTCGACGTGACGCTGTGGAACGCGTCGTGGTTCGTGAATGAAAGTGCGACCAGGCATCCCTGCGAGTCGTTTCGCTATGACGACCTATACTACGACGAGACCGTCCCTACAAAGGTAAGTGTGTGCTCATTAAATATCTATTTAACCGTAGATTTTTTTTAGGTCATGAACATAAGTATGGGTACCCCGACTGCGCTAGCGACATTTTTTTACATATACTATACTGAAAATAGCTATGACATGGATGTAACAATACAGTTCGAAGGTGAAAGCAGCTCTAAAACAATCTTATCATCGCTTTCTACGCCTTTACTTAGTCCAATACGCGTCTATTTGCATTCGCTGTTGGTCTATTCGGTGAAACATAGCTAGAAAATGAGTTGCGTAAGTTGGAATTAGCAAAAAGTTGACGGATCAAAGAGCTTCGTTTATGCCCTCAAATCTACTGTCTTCTTGAAATGTATCTTCACTGCTTCACCGTATAAGGCAATCAGGAAGACAAAGCCCAGTGAGCAGGCCTAAATTGTTTGTTCCGCCTTTCCTTCTTTTTCTTTCTTCGCTGCATTTTTTTTCATAAACTTCCCATAATATTAGTACAACAGATGTGCATGCCTATAGCATTCATTTCATTTTCTCAATAATTTATTTCCCATATATATATATATATATATATATATATATATATATATATATATATATATATATATATATATATATATATATATATATATCCAAATTACCCTACGAAGTGTGCCGTCATCGGGGACTCAATCATGCGGTACGTCCACACGCACTTCAGCCCGAACGACTCGTCGACGCCGTGCTTCATCTCCTATGGTGGTGCTATGTTTTCGGACATTCCGGCGCTACTTGAGTACCTACCTCACCGGGTGGACACGTTGTTTCTGCATGTGGGCACCACGGACATCCTGAAGACGAGCTCTTCAAGATCACTGGATTCGTTGAGGGAGGCATTGAAGCGAATGAGGCAGATGCGCCCGAACATCAAGACACTGCATCTTAGTCTGCCACTACCTCGCGCACCCAATCGCCGACGGCGGGACTCGAACTGGCGATCAATGAATCGGTTTAATATGGAGGTACAGCGATTCAGCAGAGAGGCCCGCCGTCTCTGCCACTACGGGTTGTTGGGAGCAGGCGTCTATTACGTCGAACATGGCTTCTCAACACTCCCGCTGCGCCGCTTCCTGGCTGCTGACGGCTTACATGCAAGCTTCGAGGGGGTCGCGCTACTGGCACAGCACACGAGGGTGCAGCTGCGATGGACGTCGGCGGCATGGAGATCGGCGGCAATCGCTTGCACGGACAACTCCAGTGCCAAGCCCCCTCAACAACAAGAAGCCGAGCGACACACAGAGCCATCCAGGGCACCAGCAGTGACGATGTCTCCACTACCACCAGCGAGGCCAGCGAGCCAGCGGGTCCCACCAGTGAGTCAGAGATCGGCGGCAACGGCTTGCACGGCAAACTCCAGTGCCAAACCCACTCAACAACAGGGAGCCGAGGGACACAAAGAGCCATCCAGGGTCCCAGCAGTGACGACGTCGCCACTCCCACCAGCGAGGCCTTACAACACCAGGCGGACGAATGCGGCGAAGACCAAGGCGGCGGCTTCCAAATGACACGGGGAAACAAAAGGTACGGGCAGTCTTAAACACGCATGGTCCCACTCATTTCTATCGATTAGGAAAATCATTGAAAAGCGGGTGCAATACGAAAAACACGCAGAACAACTAAACAAATATCTATCTCACGAAATTGCACCTAAGGGTCTCCGCCTAGCCTGCAACCCCTCAATGTCTACACTAAGTGAAGCAGAAAGGGGGAAGTGGGAAAAAATATTACTAGAAGCGTCCTTGCAACTGACTCGGGTCATTGCGGACCATTGTGAGCGTAAGGCCGCCGAACACAGTGTCACGGAGGCCACGCAGAAATTGGTATCTAATCTCGGAGAGCATGAGGCAAGAGAACTGGAAAGATATGAACTAAAGAAGAGAGGCGAAATTTCAGTAGTAAAAGATAGAAAATTCAAGCGGGATTGCAGTAGCTCCACTGCTCTGCAACAGGAAAATAGGAATGAGGCCGTACAAGAACACCAGGGACCACCCGTACCTCAACCTAACTTTGAGGAGGAAAATGGGAACTCAGAACCACAGTGCAATCCTAATCAAAACATCCTTACTCTCGAATATGACGCTGACACTCCCGTGCCACGTGATAGCCAAGAGCAGCCGAAAACTTATGAGGAAAATGTACTCAATCCGTCAAACACAACACTCACACCCGCTCAGCTTCAACTTTTGTCGAGAGGCTTGACCTTTTGTCCATCATCCGGTAAATTCAATGAATTTGAACTGTACCAAGACCTCGATAACTTTGCGCGTAATCTCCGCCTCCGTGAATACTTTCATGATCGCAAGGACTGTACGAACGAGAATAGAGTGATTGGTGGTGACAGATCATGGTGTCCGGGTGAGCAGAGGGACAAACACCTCGATATGTATATATCAGCAGTTCAAAAAGATATCATCAGAGCGTATGGAAAAAATCGGCCATTTCGAAACAACATATCAAAGTCAGAACGAAGGGCACTCGATGAACTACGAAAAAACACTGGAATTACTATCAAACCGGCTGATAAAGGAGGCTGCATAGTAATTCTAAATACGTCGGACTACTTAAAGGAAGGGGAACGACAGCTATCAGACACAAAATTCTACAAAGAACTTCCAACGGACCCGACTCCCGAATTTGAAAGGGAGATAAAAGTAACCCTAAACAATCTCCGCCGGGACGAGAAAATTACCGGCAAAATGTTAAAAGCAATGTTACCGGCCCACTCTGTTCCCGGTCGATTCTATTTACTCCCCAAAATACACAAGGCAGGTAATCCGGGACGTCCGATAGTATCCAGTAACAGCACATCAACAGAAAATATATCAGAATTCATCAATTCCTTAATAAAAAACATCCCCCCAAATTTTCCCTATTACCTAAAGGACACAAACCACTTCATCTGCGAAACTTCAAGTCTCGACATCCCAGGCGGCAGTTTTCTGGTGACCATGGACGTCTGCTCACTGTACACCAACATACCCCACCATGACGGAATAGCGGCTATGGTTTCTGAATATGTAAAATCTGACTCATCAACTAGTGTAAGTGGCGAGGTACTGTTTACACTTCTTGAACTTGTACTAAATTATAACCATTTTGAGTTCAACGGCAAGCATTTCCTTCAGGTCAGCGGCACTGCAATGGGCACGAAAATGGCCCCAAACTTCGCGAGCACCTTTATGGCTTCACTTGAAATCCCATTCATTGAGGGACGCACCTTGAAACCTTTCTACTACAGAAGATACTTAGACGATATTTTTATGATATGGAACCATGATGAGGGAAGTCTTTTCCGCTTCATAGAGGATTTTAACAAATGCCACCCGTCAATAAAATTCACGCACAAAATTTCCAAAACTAGCATTAACTTTTTGGACGTTACTGTCACGGTCGAAAATGACCGCTTGTCAACAAACCTTTACAAAAAGCCTACAGACCGTCAAATGTACCTACATTTCAACAGCAGCCACCCAAAGCATTGCAAAACGGGTATTCCATATTCTCAGGCCTACCGGTACCGAAGAATATGCACCGATATGCGGGAATTTGACAGACACGCGGAACACCTAAAGCATTCCTTATTGAAACAAAATTATCCGGAAGACATTATTGACGATGCCATACTACGTGCTCGCAACGTGAACAGGAATGATATAATTAAGGGACCAAACAAAGTACCTAAAACGACTTCCCAAACGAACCTTGTACTAACTTACTCCTCATCAGCGCCACGAATCAACAACATACTTTCCCGCCATTTCAACATAATCAGGCAAAGCGAACGACTAACTTCTATTTTCGTGAAGCCACCTCACGTGGTGTACCGCCGGGATAAAAATCTGAAGGACATTCTTGTCAGGGCAAAAACAAACACCCCCAAAATTCAATCAGGGTGCCATCCCTGCGGAAAATCTCGATGCAAGGTATGCCCACAGATGCTCACAACACGTGAATCCAAAGCGAACTTCTCGGATTTCAAATTCTGCATAACTGAAAGCCTTAATTGTGGCTCCAGTAACGTAATATACATGCTACATTGCAACATCTGCGGACAAGAATATATCGGCCAAACAGACACGCCATTTCGGCTGCGGTTCAATAATCACCGGTACCACGCCACTTCACTGCCGAAGCTACCTTTATCTAGACATCTGCGCCTGCCAAACCACAGTTTTAAAAATATTAGCGTAACTCTTTTGCAGTCCGGTTTTTCAAACAGACGCGAGCGCGAACAGCGTGAGGCATATTTTATTTTCAAATTTCGTACATTAGTAGCCGGTATCAATGAGGACCCCGGAAAACTCAACTGCCTCCGAGAAGTAAGCCAGGAGAAAATTGGTGACAAAGATTGATAGCTGGAGACCATGCTTTTTTCTGACTGACTCGTACGTGTACACTGTCCTCTTTTTTTTTTTTTTAACATGCACATACAAAGTGTTTACGTTCGCCTACCACTTCATGACCGTTGAAGGGAAACGGACGAAGATTAAAGGTAAATAGCCGACCGACCCATTAACGAGAAACCTTTCCTTTACACTCACCGCCCGCCGCCCGCCGAACGACCAAACGACCAATTACGGGGAAACCCCTTTCTTTAGGCACGCCGTCCCGGACCCTCCCGGCACCGCGGCGACAATCTTGGGTGGCCCGACACACGCCAAGAACTGAACAGCACGTGATATGAACCGTAGGTGGATGTAGACGGACAGTTGGCTTCGTTTTCAGTGTTGACAGTGGTTCTTCCTGTTTTTTACTTTCTTTCTTTTCTTTCTTTTTTCGTCTTTTTTCTCTTTTTTTTTTTTCCTTCTTCCAGTTCCCTCTCACTCTCGCAAACGTCTTTCAAGGCGAGAGGGACGCGGCAGCAAGGAAGTTCATGTCAGTATAACTCATCCCCTGATGAAGGGAGGTCCCCTCCCGAAACTGTTGGGAAATAAATATATTTATCCTTGTTGACAACGCTCCCGTTGTGCCATATCCCATACCTATATATATATATATATATATATATATATATATATATATATATATATATATATATATATATATATATATATATATATATATATATATATATATATATATATATACGCTTTTAAAGCCACACTGTTATATTCAATTCAACTTCGATATTATTTCTGAGTTAAGGTCATTGCTTTTCAAGTATGCAACTCCTCACAGGTTGACAAAGTGAAGGGTTGCGGAACGTAAATTGTGAGCACGAGAAGAACGTGCTGAAACCCTTCACTATGTCAACATGTACCAACAGCTGGCCCAGAAAACCTAAACATCTCATAAGATCGTTTTCTATGTGTTGCATGCTATTATTCCCTCTCAAAGTTTCTAAATTCTGATTTTCCGTATAAATAGTGCAAAGAGCTATTTCTATCACAAAGTGACTTCCAATAACAGAAAAAAAACAGCGCGCTCATCCTTGCGTCTTCAATATGTTCTCAGCACCAAAATTTTATTACATAAACAAAAACAATGCTCTAAATTATTCGCCCTTGCAACGAGGATATGTATTTTGCGTGATCTTCTAGATGTGTTCACTTAAAACACTGACTGCTAACTGAAGTGACCGTTTGCACGTCCACCTTTTGTTCAAAAAAGTATTTAATTTGAGGCACGTGTTTACTCCTAAAGGGTACTTTTTTTTTATCTCGCATCATTTCCTAAGGTACTTTTTCTATTGCCCCCAGTGCTCCGACAAAGACATAAAATATATCAAAATATAAACAATACAATTCTCATGGCATCAGACAGCCGTTCTCTCAATGTTCTTCTCCCTAATCATGCAGTGGGATTTGGTCTGTTCTCGCGGTCAGCTAATCAGCCTATTGTACTCCATAACGACAGTAGGGAGCATCGTTGGAACTCTCATCATTGGTGCACTGGCTGACAAGTATACCGCATAGTACAATACCGTCACTTCACTCATTTGTTTTCGTTTTAAAAACTCTCTGCGCTGCTGACGTCCATGGTACTACGGACTGTTCGCCATCCAAATCTATCTTCTTGAATGTTATTGCTTCTTGAATGTTATTGCCGATTCTACCCCTGCATATCTCTACATCTAACGTGATATTGCACTGCCCCCGAGATCTGAGGCACTGAAAGCTTTCTACGCCTCACGTGCTCCTGCGCGCCCTTCGATATCGGCTCACCTTTGACAAAGCGACCATGTCTTGCGATGACATCATGTGACGCTATGTCAAGACGTCATTGTGACATCATGTGTAATCAGTGACAGTTTTGGAAGATTGCGTGCTGACGCGAACGATGTCAACTGTTGACGCCACAATACTAATGTAACCAGGGTGACATTCATATCGGGTGACATCACTACTTCGAAGGCCTCTGACACCATTTTTACACCGCAACAATGACACCATTACTGGTTTATGTCCTGCGGGTTCTTGTACCACTCCATTCACCTGCCGTGTTACACTTACGATTGATTGAAATGTGAGGTTTACCGCCCCAAAATTACCATATGATTATGAGAGACGCCGTAGTGGAGGGCTCCGGAAATTTTTACCATTTGGGGTTCTTTAACGTGCACCCAAATCTGAGCACATGGGCCTACAGAATTTGTGCTACACTCATGGCTTTCGCCTCAGTAAATTAACATAGTGGTGCGCTTGATATCGCAGGTACGGCCGTAAGCCACTGTTCTTCGCCCTCGTGTCGTTGGCCATTTTCTCGGGCTTCGGCACTGTACTCTCCTTCAACTATGCCATGCTCGTCGTAATGCGCTTCGTCAACGCCTTGCTGGACCCACAGATGGACCAGCTGCCATACCTCATCAGTGAGTCTCATACGGTGCGTCCGGCGTTTGCATCGCGCTCAATGTGACGCCATGGCCTGTCGTCGCTCTGCGTGGTGGACAAGTCCAATTTAACCATCGCGAAAAACTTGCACGCCTAAGCACCACCAGCAGAAATACGAACAAGAAAACAGGTACTTCCTAGGGACTAAGGCTACTGGTGATGCTTAAGCGTCTAGACACAAGTTCTGCTAAGCTAACAGCCCAAGCGCTTTCCGTAACTGCATGATCAGAGATGTCCGGTGGGTGTTTTCTGCAAGGAGCCCAAAAGTTCGTTCAGCCTGCTTAAAATTGCTTAGAGTACAATTTAGCATGCAAAAAAAACAAACAAGAGGCCATGGTTTCCCTGTCTCCACTAATACAGGTAATGACAAAATAAATAATATAAGAAACAAAATGCAAGAATTCAGAACGCCCTCTTTCTCGCTGCCGAGTTCGGAGTCGAGGAACATAAAATAACTTGAGATGAGACGAAACTATTACTGTCTCAACCACCTTTTTTTTTATCAGACAATTCCGATGCGTCATTCTCAAACTGCACATTCTATAGTTCGGGCACATTCTATTTTCCGGGCACAGTGTTCGAACTGGTGGGTGCCAAGCAGCGCACCCTGTTGTTGGGCGTGACGTCCATGGGATGGACACTGGGCATGTGCCTGCTGCCTCTGGTGGCGTACCTGAGCCGCACGTGGGTGCTCCTGGCAACAGTGTGTGCCTCCTGTGCGGTGCCTATCTTCTGCTACATCTGGTGAGAGACCATGCGCTGAAGTGGCGTTAAAGGTTCACTGAACAGAAAAACCGATTTTCCTCGCATTATATAGTAAATTATCATTCCACAATACAAAAATCACCACGCTCACCATGATAAGACGCTTTGTAAGCCAGTAAGCGCATGAAAGGAGAATGCGGGCGGCGAGGCCACACTCAAGTTCCCCAACCAATTGCCATGACGTCAAAAACGTTGATAGCACCCACTGTGACTTACGTCTTCACTAATCGGTAAACATGAAGCACATTGTCGTCTGACGGGGTCACAGAGTTAACATAGCCAGTTTGGGGGAAGTTTAGTGAGGCCAGTGACACCAAAATACGAAAAAGGCGCTTCGAAATCCGTGAAGTCACACGGGTAGACTTTGGCGCGAAATTTATACAAGGTGCTTTTGCCTTGGTTTTTCACTTTTTTACTATTAGTGTTACGATGGCTTCAGTTACGAGCTTTTCGAGCAAAATGTACTTATCTAACTTGATTCATTGTTTTACTGTATTGTTCCTTTAACAGATCAGGAGCCAATTGGCCGACTTGACAGGGTGCTGCTTTTCAACGTGTCGAAAGGCACGTTGTGGTGATGCAGGGTTTTATACCTAAAGGATAGCCCACTGACACGAATTTTAAATGTTTTCGGACTGCTTAAATACTGGTGACGAGAAACCTAAACCGAGTATTGTGGTCACTGGGGAGGCACCGAATATCGTTTATTACTACAACTTTGAATTGACACTTTGGATATCAAGGGCACGGCTTCTCTGTGGCGTGTCATGACAGTGTGACACCATGGAGTGACATCACCAAAGTGGAAAGGTGGGCATGTTGGTATTTCTTTGTGTCCTTTCTTTGTGTATTCGTATTCAGTGCGCTCTTACCCTTCTTAAACAAGGAGTGACATCAACTCGTGACGTAATAGCGAGATATCTCTCATCTGCTATTGGGGCGCGCAAACAACAATGCGAGAACCGTTGTTCAGTGACCCCGAAAATGATTTGTGTGATTTTCACTGCATGCAGGTTGCGAAATTTACAAACTCAGTGGAACTGTCTTAACTCATCGGGATAATGTCCATTGCGGTGGTACTGGCTTGCTGATGTTCACAGATGAAAATTTCAATATCAAAGATGAATATTTTTATACGTGTACTATAAATATCCGACATGTGGAGAGCGTTAACAGTGCTTCCCAATAAAGCATAAAATTTCCCTTTGGCAATGTCTCAGAAAAGTGTCAGCGCTCTTTAATTGGGGCAACTTTTTCCACACGAACTGTGGCGGCAGTCAAAAAAACATAACCGAGATACTGGTATGCTGGGACAGCATGCTTACGCAGAAAAATCCAGCAGTACACAGCAGTGACTGGTATTGTCAATAAAGCCGGTGATTGTATGGTGGGACACAAGTTCTAAGCTAAGCACCCTGCACAAACTTTTATGGAAGTATATCTCGAAAATGGCACAATTTTCATAAACAAACCAGCAGTAGACAAATATATTTGTTTTGGCACATACATTTACTGCTCAATGTAGCTTGGTCCAATACATTAACAAGTCTTTTTACTGAGCTTAATATTCAAATACAGTGCGGTCTAGTAGCCAGTCTGAGTTGTTGATAAACATGCGAAATTGGAGATTTTCAAAAAAGTTTGAACCCCTCAACCACGCCTCCCAGTGGACCAATGTTACGGCATCAAATGCGCATGTCTAGTATTCCCTTTGAGGTTATAATTGTTGTCTGCAACGGCTCCCTGGTTACGTGCTTTTAAATGCGAACATTTTCTTTGAGAACTCCTACCTATCCACCCACATGTTTGTTCGTCCGTTCATCCATCCGTCCGTTGCTGATCCCAAGACTTAGCTCGCGCAGCCGTTTATTTCAAGAGATGCACGTACGCAAAAATTTGCAAAACCGCCGGTCTTTCGACTTCTGTCTATGACGGTCCCCTGCACGTTCGTTTTAGTGTCGTCCCCGAATCCCCGAGGTGGCTCTTGTCGCAGGACCGGCTCTCTGAGGCATCGGCTGTTCTACGCCGCATTGCCCTTCGAAATGGTGTCGAGCCCCCAATCGACCTCGACCTGAAGCTAAAGGTGAGTGGTCCAGAAGGCTGGTTAGCCGAAGCAGTTAATTTTCTCAGTGTGCATGGTCTTAGCCAGCGAAATGAAGGCCAGAAAACTAAGAGCCTGTTCAGAGACAAAAAAAAGCAAAAAGAAATGCCTGTCATTCAATACGTACACAAGGTGGCACACAACTTAAAACACATTGGAAATAGATAGAGCGTAGACGTGAAGTTTTCGGCAAAAACCAAACTAGCAACCCTGCGTCCATGCATCAATAAGCTCATAGGTTCGAAAGCTTGCTCTTTAAAACACAGAAACATTTTCATAAAATGCGTAAATGGGGCAGTATATATGATTCTTTTTTCTTGTAGTAAAGTCTAACATCGTACAGTCAGGAACGTGCGTGAATGACCGCCTTAGGGAACACCACACATCTGTTAAGGCATCAAGCAACACTCATCTTGCAGATTACTGTAAAAACTGTGGATATTACTCTGTGTTTAAATAAACAGGAATAGTATTTAAACATAAGAATCAGCTGACTCGTCAGATAGAAGAATCATACCTTATCCGAAAGAGGGGACATGACTGGGTTAGCCAAGCCATGATTGTACTGCACGCTATGTACTGCACGATATGTACTGCGCGTATGTAGACACTATAGTGCTTGCGAAATATAAGAAATGACAAATAACACAGAACATTTTGTAATCCCGACACGAGTGCTTTTTCGCTGCTCCCTGCTCTGTTGCACATGTGCGAAGAACCATGCATCCGCTTTAAGTACCGCTTTTCTGACTAATAAAACTTCCGTTGGGAGAACAAGCACTGTCTTTGCGAGCCTCTTATGATATTGATATGCGGTGTTATTTGCTTTCTGTCTATTGACTGATGCTTCCGTCCACCTACACGTAGTAGCCAACGTTTCGGCCTTTTTGTCCAAATTTATCATCTATTCACGCAAGCTTAGCGAAAGCATGCAATACTGCGACCTACATTCGGTGACAACCTAAAGGCAACCTAAGCTGCGACCACGACACAGAAGAAAATGTCTATAGGCACCCCAAACAATTGCATTCGCGTCATTTTTGTGACGTCGAACACGTAACGCTTATGTTAAGCGGGTGTACCCGCTAGTCGAGGACTGTACCAGCTAAACAACCCTGGCATGTACTTCGCGATAATTTCACACTTCTAACAAGCTCTGTAATTGCGAAAGCCTTGTACGTCCTAGGCGCACTTGACCTTGAAAAATTAAGTAGTGGTGCTAAAAACATCAGTCAACATAAAAAAAAACCACGTGACCATGTGACTACTTGGTCACTTCAATTTAGCCTCATGGCGTTCGCGTTAATAAAGAAACATCAAAAGCGGCATTCCTTTTAAACGTGACTCGAGTCGGTGACAGGTGCGCTTTTACAAATGGCAACGACCCGACTGAGAATGCACCGAGAGCTACTCATATGTCACACAGCGAAACAACAAAACAATATTATTCGAGTAGGAGATTGTTTTTTGTTTACACACCAAGCCTAACAAGGCAGATTTTATTTTCGCAGGATCATAATAAATTCGGGGTTTTACGTCAGAGACGCCGCGGTGGAGGACTCCGGAAATCCCGACCATCTGGTGTTTTTTTTTTTTTTTAACGTCGGGTGTTCCATCGGGTGACCATCGGGTGTTCTTTAACATCGCACAGTAAACGGGCCTCGATTGGACTCCATCGAAATGTGGCTGCCACGGCCGGGATCCAACCCGCGACCTTCGAGTCAACAGCTGATTGAGCACCGTCACCACCGTTCCACCGAGGCGGACTATTTTTGCACGAACCAATAAATGTATACCGAACGCTGAAAGCAAATTGGTATACACCGGTACTTAGCTGCGGAGCGGAAACCTGGAGACTTACCAAGAAGGTTCAGCTTAAATTAAGGACGACGCAGCGAGCAATGGAAAGAAAAACGGTAGGTGTAAGCTCAAGAGACAAGAAGAGGGCAGAGTGGATTAGGGAACAAACGGGGGTTAAGGATATCATAGCTGAAATAAAGAAGAGGAAATGGACATGGGCCGGGCATGTAGCGCGTAGACAGGATAACCGCTGGTCATTAAGGGTAACTGACTGGATTCCCAGAGAAGGTAAGCGGGTTATAGTGAGAGAGAAGGTTAGGTGGGCAGATGAGGTTAAGAAGTTTGCGGGTATAAATTGGCAGCAGCAAGCACAGGACCGGGTTGACTGGCGCTACATGGGAGAGGTTTTTGTCCTGCAATGGACGTAGTCACACTGATAATGATGACGATGATGATGATGATGATGATGATGATGATGATGATGATGATGATGATGATGATGAACGCTGCTCTGGGTCAGTGTTTTTCTTTCTAACGCACTTCGCTTGCTCACTATCATGGATGATCAGCTCGCCAACGTGTTTTAGTCATACCGGTTCACTTTAATTTCCGAGTCTTCCTGGATGAAAACGGAAGAAACCTTATGAGCTCTTTTCTTTCAGGAAGTTCAGCAAAGCACAAATGCTGAAGAGGAATCGGAGGAATCGGGTTCCATGCTAGACTTGGTCAGGAAGCCGATGATACGAAAAAACTTGCTGATACTCAGCCTGATATGGTACGTGTTCTTAACCCCACGTTCGTGATAATCTAGGCCCAAGTGAACATTTCGTAATGACGCACCAATCGCAGAAAGTAGCCTGAAAAAATTGTACTGTCACCAACGGGGTAATGTAATTAGTTAGCCGCTATGACTGCTAAGCAGCTACAAGAGTTTTACTGCTAAGCGTAAGACCACGAGTTCGGTTCTCGTGGCATCCACGGGCACATCTAAGTGGGATAAAATAAAACAAACTTCGTTTACTTATACTTAAATACACATTAAAGAGAGACCCTTGTGGCAAGAGTTCACAATGCAATTAATGCTTCACGCACATATGATCGGACTGTAGATAACCAAACCTAATAGAAATGGAACACTCGATGTGATATAAATTTGAGCTTCGCTGTTAGAACAAAACAGACCAGCTTGGCAGCAAAATTGCTTCCTAGTTTATCACTGCCGCGTGTCTCGTAATGAAATCTGTATTTTGACAAAAATAAATGGCGAAATTTGGCCTCTTTTTTATGTGTACATAGTGTAACGGGGTTTATTTGCAGCGCAGAACGCAGCGTCCGGCCAAGCGCAGCAAGCACGAGCTTATCCCGATGGCGATGCCCCTGATGCGCCGAGAAATGCCGCTGAAGCTCCTCTTCTTCACTACAATCGCTTCTTTTTTTATGTTGATACCAGCAGCTGGTTAATAATAGTCCTAATATAAACAAGTATTGATGCAACAATCTACACGTAATTATGAGGGAGTGCATAAATCCTTTTTAGTAGTTTCTTGCACTAATAGCTCGTTTCAGGTATGATCAAGCTAGCCTAAAAACAACACATTCTGCTTCTCTTAAGCAGCATGGCGTGCCTCGTAATCACATGGTCGTTTTATTGGGCACATGAAGCCGCTAACGTTTATTTTCTCAACGCTGCAACAAGCGAGTCTATACGCAATGAGGCCTCAACAACACGCAATGACCTTCGTAAAAATAGTGCTAGGCCAGTCTTGCTGTCTTTCGCACAAGAAAATGGCTCAAAGCAAATGTCAAACACACGGCGTCACACGTTTCAGGCATAAGCGTCTTCTTAGATGGCGCAATGCTGGAGAGTCGAGGGACTTATCGTGCCGTGGTCTACACGATAATAGCCGATCATAGTCGTGAGGCGAGATTCTGCACTGCCCCGTGACAACTGCGGTGTCGCGTTTTGTTTGCAACCACCAAAGCAGTACGGTGTGGCCTGAGGCGTGGAATTATCACAGAGATATCTATATGTCTGTATATCAAATTGCAAAAATCAAAAGAAGACAGGAGGAAAAGGGGGTAAATATACAAAAGGACAGATGTTAGCCAGTTTTCAGACTGGCTGGCTACTTGTTGCTGGTAAAAAGTATAAGGAGGCAAAGAAAAAAAAAGAAGAGAAAAAAGTGGGGGGAAAGGTAGAGCAAGTGAAGATACTATCACACTGTTAAAAGTTCGTCTCTAACAGTAGTTTCTCGCAAGTAGTGATACGATACTCCCCCAAGCCGTCTGTGCTGAGAACGAACACGGCCAGTGTCGCAAGACCCTTTTCACCAACAGTGAATGATTGTCAAGTCTATGTAAGAATATTGAAAGATCGTTTCTGGGCGCACCTCCTATCACCAATTGGGTCAAATGAGTGAGACCACTGTGAGCACACGCTGACAGTGTTTTTGCTACGATAAGGTGTTTATGCTGCTAAAAACAACAAGCCCTCTCAGTGTTATCCAGCGACCATCCCCCACCCCCTAAAGAGAGTCGCTAAATCAACCCTTGGTAAGGCTATCAGGTAATTCCTTTAACACCCCTTACGTAACTCCCTTACATAACTCCCTAACACCCCTTATAAAGGGACCACCTTAAGGGAGCGAAACGTGGGCTGGGGAACAACCGGGTCTTAAGGACACCTTAGCCGAAATCAAGAAGAAATGTGCGTGGGCAGGGTAGGTAGCATATAGGCAAGATAACCGCTGATCGTTAAGAGTAACAGACAGGATCCCAAGAGACGGAAAATGCGCGAGAAAAAAAGCGAGACTTCCTTTGGTGGATGAAACTAAGAAGTTATCGCGGGTATCGTACAGCCACAGAAAGTACCACACCACGGCATGATTGTCGGAACAAGGAAGAGGCCTTTGCCCTGCAGTGGACGTAGTCAGGCTGCTGATGATGGTGAAGACTTAATTCAGCGAAACGCCGGCGTAATAAAATGTGTCCGCTGCAGCGAACAAGTGAAGTGATCTTTGTGCTGCCTCTCACTTCAATGCAAATAACACGTACAAAGTTATGAGCCGAGATCGGTTGACGGGCTCTTTCGTGTTCGGTTGTGCCTCAGGTCTGCAAATGGTTGCGCTTACGGCGGCCTGCACATCAACGTGACACACTTGAGTGGCAACGAGTTCCTGAACTTCTTCTACCTGGCCCTGGTGGAGTTTCCAGCAAACGCAATCGGCTGGTGGAGCATGGACCGCTTTGGCAGGCGTTGGACAAACGTATTTTTCATGCTTCTCACGGCCACTGCCTGCTGGGCACCCGTCATCGCACCCATGTGTGAGCTTGTTTGCCTGATTATTTATTTGACTTTTTGTCTATTGGCGATCAAGACAAGCCATGCAAGATATAAAAAAGGCCACCCCGAGCCTTGCATGACATTTCCATTGCAAAGCTAAATCACAACGTATAACTGTATTTTATTGCGATAGCAATCATATCGAGACCTTTGGCTGATTGTTGCAGTAGCCGTCGCCGTCATGTCCCGGATATGAATAAGTATGTATATATCTATAAAAGGCACATAGAAAAATAAAATAGGAGAAAAAATTTCAAGCCATCAACTCCATCAACCGGAGATTCAAACCAGTGACCCCTCGCTCTTCAGCGCGCTGCGTTGACCAAGATGACCACGCCGCTCATACAGTTCCTCGCACTAACGGCGAGTTATGTATATACACCATTTGCTAGTGGCTTACTGTCAATGGAATTAGAAGAAACGTCTTGAACAAAGCATGTACTTTGTTTGTACAAGCCATACATGCTTTCCATAAGGTGCTTAGAGCTCATATTAGACACCTTGCTCGCGCCCCTGCCCACCACCTAGCTTCGCTTCCAGAAGATCGACCGAGTGCCTCCTTCTGTAAGAGAGTATTGACTTTCCGTGAGTGCCTTCCAACAGTCTACACACCTCCGGAACGGATACTAACACCTCCTTGGTGCTTGGACCGACCAAAACTGCGCTTGACAGTGCCGGGGATTCGCAAGAAGGCGGAGCTCTCGGCGCCAGCTTTAAAGCAGATGATTCTACTCATGCTACACGAAGAATACAAAGATCATGTCAAACTTTACACGGATGGCTCGACAACTGTTGGAGGATCTGCAGGAGCTGTGATCTTCCCAGCAAGAGCCGAAACCATCCACTTCAGAACGTCACACAAGACGACATCGACAGCCGTGGAGCTCGCGGCACTCCGCAGCGCACTCCGCAGGATTGACCAAGAGACACCACAAAAATGGAGCATTTTTACTGATTCGAAACCAGCTCTCCAATGTTTACACAATACTCTACGTCGTGGACCTCAAGATCAATTGGCGCTCGAAATACGACAACTGTACCATCACCTAATAGACGAAGGACATGACATATCTTTTCAGTGGTTACCAGGCCATTGCGGCATCATCGGTAACGAGCATGCCGACAATGCAGCTAAGAATGCTCACGAAAATGGAGTGATGGAACCCATTCCACTATCAAGAAGCGACGCAGCAGCAAAGATTAATACGCTTGCGCAGGATGTCGCAAGGTCTATGCGGAATACGCCCGGTTTTCTCCACACCCGTCTTCACCGCCTGGACCCATGCCTACGACTTACTATTCCATCTGGCCTACCCCGATCCGAGACGACCCTTCTCTGCCGTATGTGGCTTGGGGTGTCTTTCACGAACGCTTTTGCCTGCCGCATCGGAATGAGAGACAGCGCTACATGCGACCATTGCGACAATGACGAAACAATTGAACATATTTTATGTCAGTGCCCCCAGTACAGCTCTCAGCGACAGTCCCTCTCAGCAGTGTTTGCTCGCCTCGACGACCAGCCATTTTCTGAGCAGTCAATCTTGGAATGTCGGAAAGATCGAGCTTCACGCCAGAAAGCAACGAAGGCGCTGATGAAGTTTCTGCGAGCGACCCGCCTCGTAGAACGATTGTGACACTACTGTGTGCGAGTGTGTGTATGTGTGTTTGTGCTTCTCTTCCTCCCTTTCCCCTTACCCTTTCCCCAGTGCAGGGTAGCAAACCGGATATGTTTTCTGGTTAACCTCCCTGCCTTTCCGCATTAAAATTTTCTCTCTCTCTCTCTCTCTCCATAAACAGTGACGTGTGCGATGGTTTGATCAAAGGAGGTGTGGGTTCACTGAATCACATACAGTGGTATACAAATGGGTATTCCACAAAGTCTCTGGCTCCACTTTCCCTCTCCACTCTGAAGCAACAAGGAAAATCGCTCGTATCAAGTCTGAGTTTTTGAGTTAGGTCCCCCATGAAATGCGCACCGCCAATATCGCTTTAGACGAACAAACTCAACTCGCTGCTCCAGATGAGTTTCGGTGACACTTGCGCCATTAAAACATGGCACGTATTTGTCGTCGCCACGGTGTAAATCACACCAGCAACCTTCCGGTCTGACATCATGTACTTCTTGCTGCTCAACTTCCGTGCGTCGTGTCTCCAGGATGTGCCGATGGTGATCACTGGAGACTTCAACGTTAACGTACTTCGACGGGAAAACCAGTGGCTTGTCACGTTTCTCGATGCCAAACTTGGACTTCGGCTCCTGTCGGACGTCACGCAGTTAAGTGTTCACGAGAAAATCTCTTTAGATCATAGTTATGAACTGCGCAAGAAAACATGCTGGACACAGATGAAGAAAAACCACACAGACACGGGCACCGGTTTTTCTTCATCACTGTCCCGCGTGTTTTTTTTTTTTTTGCGCCGTTCATATTTATGAGCCAACACCAACTCGTCCAACTGCCAGTGTTAATCTCTTTAGATACTGTTGTTAAAGCATCAATCTCAATCCAAGCACAATCGACCATATTCACTACATTTCGTATGGCTCATATTCTCTTAGCTTTATTTCGTAGAACAGCCGGTTGTGTTTCTGTTGCAGTCATTTCTTCGGCCTTGCACCAAAACTGTGTCTTTTTTTCTGTTATTCGATTGTTTTGCTATAGTTCCGTCGTAGTTCTCCTAAGTTTGGCACGTTATGTAAAGCTTCAACATTTTTATTACACTGCTTATGCTATAAAAAACGAGATGATGCTGATCCCTAATTCACTCTCTTTGACAAGCTTACCCAGTAATTGCCCATGCATGACCACAAACCAAACTAAACTTCAACTCTGGCTCGAGTTGGCAACCATCCGTTTCCGGTTAGCGTACCTGTGGAATGCCCACCACCCACTTGAATAGAGCAAGGTGGTCATTCCACTGTTCAGTTGCACAAGGTGCGATGCTAAATGAGGGAGGTGCTAGTCTTCTACAACATTCAAAATTGACGCTATCGCAATCGTTTCTTCACCCTCACAATGAAACTGTCTTTTAAACAGTGTTGGTTGTCATGAACATATTGCAAGACGAATGCCTATTCTATGTTCCCTACCTTTGACTATTCTCCATTGTCTGTCTTGCTCGGACGCAGCCGGCACGGTGGCCATCGTTGCCTCGGTCATGGCCAAATTCTCCACCACGGCGGCGTACATGATGATGTACCAGCAGTTGGACGAGCTCTTCCCTACTCCCCTGCGTTCCTTCTCTGTGGGAGTGCTCACCGCTCTGACCGCTGTCTTCACTGCGGGAGTGCCCTACGTCGTCTACATGGTGAGCCTCGACCACGGCCTCGACCCATGGCGAAGCAATGCTTGTGCGTTATGCGCGACGAAAGCACTGTCGGAGTTCTTTCTGGACACCAGCCTTAATAAAATTTTGTATATAGTTGACCAGGTCGAAATTTATGAAGATCTGTTGTCTACTTTTCATGAGATTGTTTCCCACTACCGTCTGGCCAGAAAAAAAATTCCAGCCCCCCCCCCCCCGATTTGACCAAGCATCAGGCGACCCGCTCGTATCCTACTCCTCGATCTCTTAACCAGGTAGACCCCGACCATTCGCAGTCGTGCCCCAAATGCGGCCACGAATCGTGTTCTTTTAATCACATGCTCTGGCTGTGCCCAGCACTTAACGTCTCTCCGCCAATCTCGAAAAAGCAATGGGATGCATCTCCAAAGCGCAGCAGCCTTCATACACAACTCCTGGCCCTCCAGAGGCCCCTCGACATCGCGACGGAACTTCGACTTCCGGTCCCATCGTAGCCGGGGCCGCCAACTTGATACGGCCGGAGGCTTATGGCTCCCCTAAGTATCTGTCCTTCAAGACCTATATAAAGTTATTGTCAACAGTCGGTTTCAAACGTAGGGGAAATCTCGGAGCGCATGAGTATCATGGTGCGGCCAGTGCTGCAGTCGTGCGCATGTGTTTGGGGGCCGCAGTGTTAAACCACATCGTCTGCTAGAGCGTTGCGCGCTGGTCACACCGTCGGGCAGCCTGCCCATTGCATTGTTGCGGCGGGAACTAGGCTGATATTCTGTACTAAACGTCGTGCTATGCCAACCTATCAGCCTTCATTGGTGATAATGTAGTTCTATAAACAGTATTTGGCAGCGTACGTTGTTTGCTCTTCCGAAACGTCGTTGTGCTGAGTGCATTCCTTTCTTCTTTGTGTGTGGCACCGCAGCACGCTGCAACGGGGAAGACCATCATGAGCAAGTACCACGCGTGTTATTGATTTCGCTATAAAAATAAATAAACGAAGCACTCTACAGCGACTGCCTTGCAACTTGTGGGTTCAACACAATAAAACAATCGAGCACGAGTTCAGAAATCCTGCAGGTTTGAACAACGACCTGAGCGGGCTTCTTCTAGACGGCATTCATTTCATGAGGCCGAACTCACTCGCCGGCGCTGAAACACACGCGTGAAGCATCCAACTTCACTTAATACGTCACCGTGCCCACAGCGGCCATGTTGAAGGCGCCCATTTTGGACTGGTGTTCTTTAGCACGCACTGGAATCGCACAGTACACGGGCCTACACCATTGCGCCTCTATCGAAATTTGACTGCCGTGACTGGGATTGAACATGCGCCCTTCGGGTTGACAGCTGAGCACCCTAACCACTACACAGCCGTTACTTACAAGCAATTTGTCGATTATGAAACAGCGTGGGGTTTTTGCGGACGCTGCATACTGGTATAATTTCCCGTCTGAAAAATAACTGCCCAACTTCGCACGTTTTCTAGCGAATCCACCACGTTTTAATCGATTCAGAGCATTTTCAAACACATTTCTGTCGTTAAAGTTCGTTCGAATGCAATAACTAATAGAGTTAAGTGGGTAACCAGACGGTTAACTATTGTCTGAAAACTTGATTTTCAAAAACTTTAAGCTAATATTGTCGCATGTTGTTAGGCACCTACTGAAGTCTTGCGCCGCTTCCTGCTCCTACGAATTCTGCCAGACCAACTGACAAGCCAAAAGCGCCAAGCTATAAACGCGCCATGCAACGCTGGCTGCACGTGTCACCACACCACGCGCTGGAAAAAGATGGCTGGCGGTTTTTCGAAGGAGCGTCACGAGGCGAGACGCAAAAGACGAAGTTTTCTCTAGAGAGCTCAAGACAACTTTTGTGCATTTAATTAACGGGCACAAGTTCACCATAAATAAACAGCTAGCTTCCGGCGTTGTATTTGTTCGTTACAATATGTTCGATTTTTGAAATAAACCAGTGGATTATCTTTCTTACTCTTCGCTGAAACCCTACAGCATCTGTCGTCATTGTGACGTCACAATCGTAAAGCTCATTCGCGCGTTCTGCCAACCTTTCCTATACGCTCTCCCTAATGCAGGGAAGGTACGGCTCATGGATTCCCTTTCTTTTCCTCGCCCTGCTGACGACGATGGCTGGCATCGCGGCGGCCTGGTTACCCGAGACGAAGGACTACCCTCTCTGCCAGACGGTTGAAGACGCTGATAGATTCGGCCATGATCAAAAATTCTTCTCCTTTAACAGGTGAAGCACAACGTGCAAATTGTAGACAAAGCTGAGCTTATGAGTACTGCCACGCAAACCCATTTACTTCCATGCAAATTACATCGTAAAGCGCTTTCATTATTAAATTCTTGAGAGAGTGTGAAAAGGTGGCTACTTCGGAGTGAGCAGTCAGTTCTAATACTGACGATTCGTTGCTAAAAAAACAATACAAGAAAGACCACATACACTCACCATACACTACATACATTCAAAAACTACATAAACGCAAAAGTACACGTGTGCGAAAGCATTCTGAGCAGTGTTATGACCGTCGTCAGTAGGCGCCATGCTGTCGCTGAGAAGCGTAGCCGGGCAGCGCTCCCACGCCTGAAACCCCAGTTCTCTCGGAACCAGCGTCCAGAGCTGACGGGGGAGCGGCGCTCTTTTGATCCTCAAACAAGTAGCCGACTGGCCGGCTGCCTATGCCCGCCAGGTATTGTCCCTGCTAGCCGGAGGATGAGACGTCGTGTCGCCACGACGCCGTAAGCCGTTCCAGAGATGACAACAAAGACAGCATCTTCCTTGGAAGAAACCGCGGCCGCCGTCACAAATTGCCCTGCTAATTGAGCGAACAGATCGGCGGACCGTTTGATGTATGCTGTCAGGAGCTTGGGGCCCCTCGACCAGCGGCACACACACGACGAGGAAGAGCCCCGCTGGCACCACCTTGCAGTGCAGTGATCACGACTCAATATTGAATGTTCACATGGGCCGTGCATGCTCGTACCCCTCGCCTGTTGTGTGTGTGTGATTGGTGTTCCACTCAAGAAGGAGGAGCCCGACAGGGCTTATAATGACGCCGCAGAGTGCGGGACGTCGCTCTGAACCATGTAACGGTTCAACCACCACGTTCGTGGTTTGTGAACTCCTAACTTCATGCTGTAAATATGTGTAAATAGTGCCATAAACCTGTTTATTTTTTTGGTATCCCCATTTTGTCAGCGTTCGTTTCCTCCACCCGAAGTTACACCACTCTACCACAAAAGACCGCGCAGACCCCGGTCCGCAACAACTGGTAAAGAGAGCTGAGATCCGCAACAACTGGTGAACAGCGCACCGATTCACATAGACTGGTTGGCAGCGGTGGGATACGACTCAGCACCGATCCACCACAGCAGGCTCAAGCACTACTAGCACAACACAGGCCATAGATAAGAATCTTCGATCACACAATATAATAAGTCCTGACAAGTAATGAGTGGTTAATAAGAAAATTCATTATGCTCAGTCTGACAACAATCAAATATATATGTAGTAAAAGTAAGCTTTTTTGCACCCACCATCCAGTCATCAATGAATGACAGGGTGGTGGGTAACGAAAATTGCATAAATGGAAGCGCCGATTCTCCCACATACGTTCTCTCATCTGGGCTTTTCACTTCTTTCTTCAATACGCAGGGTTATGGCTACGCATATTTTTTAATCTTTTTTTTTACAATAATGGTGAGCAAGTACCCCTGAAGTTGCACTCAAATACCTTTTTCCACTTTTTCCCATAACGCCACGCACCGATGGCAGGCTTTTCTGAAAATCATGTCCCGGCTTCATTTTTCATTTTTGCCTCCGTTGCGCAGCTCTTTTTCTTCCGGACACGACCAATAGAGGGAGGGGGAATGTAATTGTACCAGCCCCCCCTCCCCCCCTTACTTTGATGAAAAATCTTGCACACCGTCCAAGAAAGACATATTATCCTCTCCAAGTTAGACAGAAGTGTACCTTAGTGAAAAAGGTTTGGGCAGTTCATCCATTGCCGTACCAGAACACATTTATAGCCTATACTGTCCCGATTCGACAACCAATTCGATTGATGCACAATCTAACAAGCTTTGCGTATATCTGTTTTGTGAACAGGGCAGAGGAATCTTCGAAGAGGTCAAGGCATGTCGAAGAAAATGACCAGAAGACGACTGTCGAACTTCAACCGCTGCACACAGAGACATGACTGACTGCCTCGTGCGTTCCGTGCTTTATTCAACGAAAAGGCCGCTGGTGTCAACTCATTAAACTGTACGGAAGTGTGATGACGCTCTCTCTAGATAATGTAAAAACCATCGCTCTCTCCCAGTGCTTCAATGCTTTCCTGTTAGTGAAAAATCAGGCTCGATGTAGAAGCTGTGTGTTTCCTAATTCTTTCCCATTATATCACATGTAGCAGTGCAGAGAAACAGAGCACGACTTACAACATGTTCGAGTGAGCCACCGACGACCACCTAACTAGTCGATAATGCGCATCACTCGGCAGCTTATAGACATCTTAAGAATGCTTCATGTTGTTCTGCAGAGACATTGATTGATTGATATGTGGAGTGTAACGTCCCAAAACCACCATATGATTATGAAAGACGTCGTAGTGGAGGGCTCCGGAAATTTCGACCGCCTGGGGTTCTTAACGTGCACCCAAATCTGAGCACATGGGCTTACAACATTTCCACCGCAGCCGGGATTCAATCCCGCGACCTGTGGGTCAGCAGCCGAGTGCCTTAGCCACGAGACCACCACGGCGGTGCGTTCTGCAGGGACATTTAAACAGTGTAAACATCGTCAGGGAATAGCTTGTTGATTGATTGATTTGTGGGGTTTAACGTCCCAAAACCACCATATGATTATGAGAGACGCCGTAGTGGAGGGCTCCGGAAATTTCGACCACCTGGGGTTCTTTAACGTGCGCCCAAATCTGAGCACACGGGCCTACAACATTTCCGCCTCCATCGGAAATGCAGCCGCCGCAGCCGGGAATCGAACCCGCGACCTGCGGGTCAGCAGCCGAGTACCTTAGCCACTAGACCACCGCGGCGGGGCGGGAATAGCTTGTGAGGGTCGCAATAAAGCAAATGAAAGAAGCGGTCGGTGACAAAAATGTACTTGTCACCAGCGCTGCCTTTTTACCATCACTTCTTAGGCGTCTCTCAAACCACTTCGTCTTTTTATAGAGCGATACCTTTCAGTGACTTCCTCACTACGCGCATTTGCTGTACTACATGGCATTGCATATTTGTCGCGGATTTCACAGAAGACCCAGTACCATACTCCTACAATTTCAGACGCCCACACCAAGTGACACCATCATCGCTTTTCGCCTGTCCCGTTGTCATTTCAAAGTCACCTAGTTTTTTCCGGCCTCCCTAAACACAACTTCAATCTACGAGTGTTAACAAAACACTCACAGCACTTGAAGCATTTGTTTAAGACGTTCAAGGCGAAAGCCTCATTTCTTCTCAGTCGACTGTGCTAATTTTCGTCCCTTGAACTTTTCTGCACCATGCTGTGGTCTTGCCCCGTCTTCCCCACTAAAATATCACGCACCTTCTGTGTGAGTGAGCTCTCACTGACTTCTAAAAAACAGCTCTTCCATGGGCATAAGGTCAGCTTGACAACCGCCATTTGGCATAACACAAAATTGTATGACAATGACCTACGCAGACTTCTATGCGAGCCACTTTGAGGCTGTTTCATCAGTTCCTTAAAGAAGCCGCAGTATACGGCACATTGTGATGGGTCTCGGACAATTTTGGTCATCAAGGGCAACTGACTGCATTCAAAAACTAGGAAAAGATGTGAGAGGGAGACAGAAAATCAGGCGGGCAGATTTGATTAAGTTTGCAGGTGTAACATGGCAGCAGCAACCACAAGACCAGAACCACAGACCTTTGTCCTGTAGTGGGCGTAGTCAGGCTGCTGCTGATGATCGTTATAACCACTACTATTTCGATTTGTCATGGCCATCTTCCCCTTTCTTAGTACAGGTTAGCCCCCCGCGGAGATGTCCTCTGGTTGGCTACCCTCTATTCTTTGGACTTTGAAAGACACAGTGCCGATTAAAATAAAGTATGTTCGTAAAAAACGCTTCGGCTCTCGAACGTGAACTTTGTTCACGATCTGTATTTTCAGTGTTCCCTGTATTTCTTTCACTTTTCTTTCTAAACCCTCTTTCACACACTAACATATCTAGCCATCTACGACCAAGCGACGATATGATGTGGTGACACGTGATGACATGTTATCTCACGATGACATCGGCTGTTTGTCATGCATAACGTAATGACTTGATGAAGACACCAGCTATCATGACGAAATTTCTGGTGGCTTTTCTTTCATCGTTAGTGTTGGTACCAATGCCAACGGTAATTTTTCGTGAGTGATGAGGCGTCTAAAGCTTTGAAATGGCTCCTTGACATGGTCAACTTGAGCGGTCAACTTGAAAATATCCCATCTGCTACCCATCACCCGCGGTGAGGCATAATATATGTACAACGTCATGAATGTGGCACAGATCCTTCTTCAGGGTAGCTCTAATCCCCCACTTGCTGGAGTGACTAGAAGCTAAAGTGTTCCATCGGTGATGACTCATTGCTGTAAAGCCACCAGCTGACTCATAGAGTTTGTTGTACCGTGTACGTATCTACCGAGAGTGCCGACATCATTATTTGCTAGTTATTTGGCTTTTGTGGCATAGAAACAGCTGATGAATTTATGCTACGCCAGGTACAAGGCCTTCAGAAATGACCATTGAAAAGATTCAGTTTCAAAGCTCATTTTTAACAGCAATTTTTTTTTTTGGGGGGGGGGGGGGGGGGGGGGGGTGAGAGCTGGGATGGTCAAGCAAGAACACAAGAGGATAATAGAAGAGGTACAGAAGAGTTACAGGGTGGTGGCGTAGCCAGGGGGTGGCACATCGGCCCCGTGCCTCAACTTCCAAAAAAAAAACTTTTTTTACCTTGATATATAGAGTGAAAAATGACCATTTGTCTGCCCAGCCACCACTTCAGATCCAAAAAGTGCCCCCTTCCCCCCCCCTCAAAAAAAAATTCTTCCTATGCCCCTGGTACAAGGAAAAAATAAACTTCCACGGGACTAAACTTCCCAGACCTATCTTATCATGATCACTCCCACATATCATGTTTTTGTTACCTGAAAGATCCGCCAAAACGAGCAATGCATGCAACTAAATCATTTTAAAGCAAACCACCAACCCATAAGTCATGTCGACGCTCAGAACATTCCCTTTTGCCGTCGGCTATCTCCCACTGGAATACCTTATCCAAAGATGTCGGGTGTTACAATATAAGTTAGACTCAATCATGAACTTCATTCAGTAAATCAGATTGGAACCATGAATTCTTAACAATGCATGTGTTGCATGTATTCATTTACCCTCTCCTGCACGGACCGTGAAGAACCCGCGGTGTGTTCAAATATAAGCGCGTTTGCGCGTTTGTATAATGCACTGAAATAATTCTGTCTCTGCAATTGTCACATAGCGGCATGTGTAAAAATTGTGCGCAAGTCTCAAGGGTTCTTGGCATTTGTCGCATGTTGGTTGTTCTTCATTTCTGAGTACAAAGTTGTATGTCAAGTGTGTTTGTGTGCCCAATGCGAGTCAACATTATATAACTCATATGAACTATTTTTTCGACGGCAGTTCTTTCATTAGCCAAGTATGGACTTTACCAGATAGAGGTTATTACTTGAGCACGAATTTCGCTGTTGCAAACACTGACAGAAAAATAGTTTTTGACCATTTTAAAGGGACGCTGAAGACGAACAATGGCATGGTTTACCTGGACAAACTGCATGCTCAGGACTCTAATGGCGTATGTTTCACTATCGTAAGTCCATTATTACAAGAGAAAATCAAGGTATAAGTTCTCTTTTCTGAACTTCGCGCCAAAATCATCGTGCGTGACGTAATAAATTTCAAAATGTATTTTCGGTATTTTTGTGTCATTGACCCAATAAAACTTTTTCAAGCGTCATTTGCTTGGTTTATGACACCCACAGATTACAATGTGCCTAATTTTGTCGATGGGAAGCTACGTAGGACCCAGTAGACGTCTTCGAAATTTCTTACGTCATGGCGCTTGATGCGGGAATATCAATGTGGTGCCTACTTTCTTTTCTTTTCGCGCATTTTCTAGCTTACTAAGCGTCGTGTCGTGCTTAATGTGGTGTTTTTGGAAGTGTGAAATTATATTTACTAATACGCGAGAAAAAGATTTGCTTTTTAATGTCCCCTTTAAAACAAATTACTGTTGTTTTTACGAAGAGGTGCCATCATCTGCCTTGTCGTTTCCAAGCATTTCAACATGGCTTGAGCCACAGCATAAATACAAATGCCTTACTACTTAAAGAAACTTACCTTACTACTTAAAAACGTTCCGTTTGAAAAGTTGACATCTTGTGAATACTCTTCAGTTTTAAACGCGAAGCGTTTGGTGCACTTAATGGAATTAGTCTCTCAACAATGACTCCTGAGGGTTGTCCTCGCGGCATCATTGAAGACAAGACGCGTTATAAAAAAAACAAAAATCATTATAAAAACAAAAACAAAAACTCTAGCGCTAGTTGAAATGCGAGCATGGGAATGATGCGTAGGGCACACATTTGCCTAATCTTCGTACTTATGGCCTGCTTCTGGCTCCGTGTGTGTTCGTGTGGCTTGGAGCTGTTTTCTCTCGAAACAAAAAATCAGCAAATGTTCAGCGGTCGCGCTTCACCATCTTATTTTTTTAGACTTACCTTTCCAAATCGGGTCACGAAGTTCAAAAGAGTTGAACCTTTCCTTCAAAACAAAACCGAAACACAGCAATAAACGAAGCCGTAAGTACGATTCGCCGCCCGCAGGTACGAAGACTAGGCAAATGTGTATACCCATCATTCCCATAGTCGCCGAACGATCGCAGCGCCAGAGTCCCCTCTAGTTAACTTTAGCAAACTCTATGCCACAGGCAACAAAAAAACTCTACGCCACGCAGGCTAACTGCTCGTGAGTCTCTCATTCAGCGTCTTCATCTTCTTTTCACGCTACAACAGAACAAGCAAATGCAGTGGGGTCGCTAGCAGTTTGCCAACATGAACTTACTGGTAAATAACACTGATGCTTTATACTTTAGGTTTGTTCTTTTTCTGACTCCGCCACTTGAGTTTTACACTCTTCTCATTTAAAGTTATTGATTGATTGATTGATTGATTGATTGATTGATTGATTGATTGATTGATTGATTGATTGATTGATTGATTGATTGATCGGTTGATGTGTGAGGTTTAACGTCCCGAAACCACCATATGATTATGAGAGACGCCGTAGTAGAGGGCTCCGGAAATTTCGGCCGCCTGGGGTTCTTTAACGTGCGCCCAAATCTGAGCACACGGGCCTACAGCATTTCCACCTAAAATAATTGGTCGTTTTTTAAAGCGCATAAAGAGAGGCTGGCAGTACTTCAACAAATATTTATTCATTATAAATGAATAATTAACAGTTGACACGCGTGAGACGAAAACCGAACGAGAAGACTGAAGAAGACAGAAAACAGCTTTTATGTGCAAAAATAAAAAAACCGACAATTCAAGTGTTGAATATCGCAAATGAAACAAAAATAAAATCACTGAAAGTGTCGCTTAAGTAAGCCCCGCTTGCATTAAGTAACTCTTACGTTTTGTGGGTGACACTCCAGTAATATAACGTCACCCACCAAATATATACTACAAACCCAAATTAGGGTTCTTTATGGCTACCAAAGCAAAAAAAAAGCTATGCTCTAAGACAAGTAAAGCCTCAGGAAGAAGGACTTCCTCATTCCTAGCAGCGTTCGCACGAAACAGGCTGTATTTGTGTCAAGTGAGTCAGCCATATATGATTTAAGCACTTTAAATCATCATACGTTCCATTTACCATAAAAAATGGCTAAATAGCGCTGTCGTACGAGTTTTCCAGGGATGTTTCGTGCGAATTTAGGTAAAAATTTAGTAAGTTAGCTTCTCCCTAGAACTGCGACTTTCCTTGTAGCTGTTGCTAACATTCGGTTAATTTAAACGTCTGTTGTTAGTGTATATACTTTGTTTACTTTCATATTTTTATTGGCATGTAAAGCCCTCGCGTTACTACACATGTGTGACGCTCGCACCACATAAACAAAACAACACGCAAACCAAGCAGTCAATCATCTACACCATTTTGACATGTATAAATAGGCAATAAACAATGTCATGCTTCAATTTTTATATCACACCGTGTGCAATAACACCGAGGATGTTGCACAAATCAGCACCAGATTAAGTTAGCGCTGTTGTAAACAAGCCTTTACAGCATGGTTTAACATCGGTAGGGTATCGGCAAAAGACAGCCCACGAACATTGCTGAGGTGCACGGGCCTTGTGACAACGTTATGTATTCAGCACCGGCTGTTTCGGTGGCTGCCCGAAGCACGCATGATCACACATATAACACCTCAACAGTAGGGCGCCTGAAAGTTACATCCACTTAATACCGACCATGTGGCAGTCAGGCAAATGTGCGTAGGGTCCCTCAAAATTTCACGCTGAAACTAATGCCGACACGTACAGCAACCATTTCAAGGTTGCAAGATCCTAGGCGTCATTCTTTAGTATCTTTTAGTGTAGGTTATTTCAAACTTCGTCAGGAGAGTTCCCGTACAACCGTTTTTTTTATTTTTGAGCTTACTACACGAAAACAAAAGAAGAAATGCTTTTATGTTACCTAGTACACGTTCTTCCTTGAGATAACCCTGACCATGTTTTCCGGCAACTTCACTAAACGTCAGAGCTGTTCTTAGCACCCCATTGTGCGGGTTCTTGACGCGTCAGTTAGGTTGACGCGATAAATACTGATTATGAGCGTAGAGTGATCACCAGGAAAAAGGGGTGAACATTAGCGCTGTATCCGTGTCGTCGTTTTCCAGTCATCCGCCTTGTTTAACAGCGCGCTAAAGTGGTAGACTTAATTGCCCACATGCACAATCCTACGTCTCCATCACGTTGGGTATATAAGGCTAAGGAAAACCCCAGACTAAACGCGGGAAAATGATTGAGCAAGCATATGAGGACAAGGAACTTTGAAGAAGCTGTGTTTCCGAGTTGCAAAAGAAGTTTAGTGAAGGTAGAGATTCCCGGAGCATCCGAGCGTCGCATTTACATATTCTACGCTTACTTCCAAGACCTCCAGAAACTTTGGCAATTTTTTACAGTCAGTCAAGAGGACTACTCTGATAGGAGCTAGGATTCTTACTTGGTATGTGCGATTTTTATTTTTTCATTTTTTACGACCTCCACCTTGGAACATTTGTGACAAAGTTTCGTTTTACTTTTCTGTCTAGCTGCTTGCGTAAAGTACTCCGCAAAAGCAAGAACGAAGACGTCATCGTTGTTACGATTTTCTTAACACATTCTTTGCCTTATCCCCCCTCCACACTTTCCTTTTCTACAAGGGCATCGGCGTATTATTGCATCGTGGCGCACATAACGTCATTCGGGCTATCTTATTTCGAAAGCGATAACGGCACAACGGTAAATATCCTGCAGGTCCAAGCCTCAAAAAAGATAAGCTTATAGTTTTACCCATGCAGTGAACCATTTCGTAACACCCCATCGCCGCATGCTAGCTTTCGCAATCTAAATAACGATCTCACGCCACTTTTGTCCCTTACACTGCCTACTTTGAGATTACCCAAAGTCCTCGAAGGGAAAAAAAAACTGCTCCCTTTTAGATGCATCCACCTAATCGGTGCATGCGTATGCCTATCGTATACCGGCTCGATCCGGTTCACGTGCGTGTCACCGCGTTGAGTGGCTGTGACGGGTGAGACTCTGTATCGCACGTTCTGTGCAAGCGAGCAGAGCTGCCAGGTTATTGAACGCACAGGCGACATGTTCCATCTTCAATAAAGCGACCGCGCGTTGCGAGCACTTCTATACGCCAGGGCGTCTTCGCAGCTCCCGTCATAATCAGGAAACCTCAATCCCACGAGCCGCGTGTCTGCCGCTCACGACGAGAGACTCGAAGCCGTTCGACAAGCCTCTTGTGAGATAGCCAGGAGTGGCCGTTCCTGCAAGCCGTCGCTTCTGCTGCCCCTTGCGCCTCGCCTCCCCCGTATACTTTTGCTCTGACCGCCAGTGTCTTGGAAACTTTTCGGCTGCTTCGTCTACTAGGACTGCGTCCTTGAAAGGTACTACCACTTCTCTGTAAGAAAGCGAGTAAACGGTTACTGCCAGGTAAACGAGTGATGTGTTCCCGGTATGTTTTATCAGCGTCGTAATCAAACCTTGGCTGGCTCACCAGCGTTAGGCTGCTGCGGTGTTTTCTGCTGCAATGGCGATAGCGGTGTAGCACTGAAAGGAAAAAGACGACGGGATGCTTTTCTATGAAGCGACTGAAAATGGGGTGGCAAGAAAAAAACACTTGATTTGCTGTGTACTGTACATAACCCCTCTGTTACGCAAACTGCAGTAAATTTCAACTGCATGCAAGGTCAAGAAATACCTCGGCAAGCTCGTACCTTGAAGCACAAGGTCAATCCGAACGTTATTATAGATTCTATGCATGTAAACATTTTTCAATCTTTTTTTATATCTTGCATTACATTATAATTCTGTCTGTGTTCACGTCTTATAATTACGTAGCCCTACGAAAGCAATTAGCAGAATTTCATTTTATAGAGCGGATTACTTGTGATCTGATGGCCTGCTCAGCTGTTCAAGTATTCTTCATCTGGAATGTGCTATTGTCTCCTCATTTTAGGGGTGTACCCAAGGGTTGGCACTGCTGACGTATCCCCCCCCCCCCGCCTCACCGATCGCATTGTATTAACAGCGGAACTACTGTAATAAAAGACAGAATGGACAGAAAAGAGCGCTCTCTACAGCGCTCTGTCCTGTACAGTTTGTCTGTTCCTATAGTTGTAGAGCTCTTACTACAATACAACCACGATGACCCAACTCGCCCAAATTAAGTTATCTCCTTCTTTCATTGTATGTATGTCTCTCTCTCTCTCTCTCTCTCTCTCTCTCTCTCTATTTCTCTCTCTAAAGTCACACTCTTGATTTCTATCTGTTCGAGCCCATCTTCCCCTTCTTTCTCTCTTTCTGTTTCTTTCCAGCTTTTTACACCTGCAACACGCGAGAACCTTGAGCTTTAACCACTCGGCTGTAGCACGGGCGGCAGACAACGATTAAGGGGCACACCTTGCAGCTTCTTTTGTTAACCACCTGCACAGGGTGCTTGAGCAGTATAGTTGAGCACGAGCCTGTTCATGATGATCCCTTTCGATATACAACAAATGGCACACCTCGAGCATGGCAGCTTCACTCTGGCAGTGAACGACTTCGAGCAGTACGTACTCTACTGTAGGACAACTGTGTGAAACTACACTAGTCTTTCGAGGAAGGGTTGGCGATTAGGACTAGTATACGCTACAATGGTAAAGTGGTAAGCCGTTTTGATTGGTGACAGAGTGGCACTAACCACAAGGTCTGTTTAGAAAAGGCACCTTCGCGCTAGCGCAGACCTGGGCACCCTTCCTTGTTTCTTTTCGATTTTATCTTCCTTCGTTCTTCTTTTTTTTTTATCTGTCTCGCAGTTTTTTTTTCCTTTTCTCTCTCTTTATTTCTGTGTATTGGCATTCTTTTTTCTATTCTATTGTTTATTTCTCTTAATTCCTTTTTCTCGTTTTCTTCCTCTTTCAAATATTAACGCGTGGTTTTGCTTGCGATGAACCTAGTGATGACAGCATATGACAGCCTGGGTCGCTAATGTGATCCGCCTTTAAGACGTTCGAGCTATTACACTGTGTGAAGGTTCGTTGCCCATTACCTAATTGTGTTCGTCTAAGCAGTCATGCCCGATTATTTGCCGACTCTTGCCAGGAAGTTCGAGTTCCAGACCAAAAATCAGCCACACAAACTCGTGTCGATTGGCAAAATAACCCACCTTGCACCCACGAACGTGCTCGAAGCCATGGATATGAAGAGGTGTCATTCAATGTTGTGTGTAGGCAAATTATCTCTGTGTGGAAGAGCAACGCTGTTGGCAGTGCCGAAATTTATTCTCGGGTTATGAACCGTATTCATAAGAGACAGAACAATTTAAGGCCCAGTGCAATTTGCTCTGATACAGTGGAGAGTGGCCTAAATGGCACTTTGCTCTATATCTGTGCATAGCCACAGCGAACTTTTCACTCGGCCACTCATATGATGTTATATGGCTACCGCAGCGTTCCTGGTTAATGGAAGTTTTGTTTCTACGTTGCTGTAGTTTTCAAAAAAGCTCCGGAAAAAAAAGCAACACTTGCGAGCATTCTCGCGTGAAACTTGTCTTTATTTTTAACTCTTTACCCTAAACAAAACGTTAACCACGGAAAGAACCATTCAGAATGAAGTGAATTGCATATCGATTGCGATGAGAACCAGTAATTAATCGTAAATTGATAAACCACTACGCTAGCTATGACGTAAAGTTTAACAAGAGGCACTGTGAAATTTTTCAGAGGTTAACGAAGGGACTAGTGAAAAGCTAGTGGAAACTAGTGGAAACTAGTGGAAAGTCAAGTTGACGCAACAGTGGTATATATTTTAAGCATATAGTCGCCATATACGAATGATTACACCAATAGAATGACGACATCGTGGTAACAGCACCACAATGTGAGAAATACGAGCGTGCCTTCTTCTGCGTAGCGACAGTGGCTAGACGATGGTTGCGTGCCCATACTTTCTATTAGTCTGACTGCCTGCCGTATAAGTTTCGCGTTTCTCTGAGAACTGCCTTAATAGTCATAGAGAGCTCACGGGTATTGTTTTAAACAATAATGGCAGTACGAAATGGCGCCTTTACCACAAGGAAATAATGCGATAAAGGTGCCTCGTTTTAAAGGCGAAGCACTTCTTTGCGAACAGCAATCACACTTTTGGCATCTACTGCATACACACACACACACACACACACACACACACACACACATACACACACATACACACACACACACACACACACACACACACACACACACATATATATATATATATATATATATATATATATATATATATATATATATATATATATATATATATATATATATATATATATATATATATATATATATATATATATAAAGACGCTTGTGAATGTGTGCTCTCGTGATCATCCCCTTAACTTGTCGTGAACTAAAATTAGTATGAGAGGGTAAGATGGTTTTACGAATATGACACGCTAGTCGATGCTTGAATAATGCCATGATCCCGTTGCGTACATCCTCAAACACTTCCCGCTAAGCAGTGTCACATACCCGCTGACGGGTATGTGTCACTGGAATGTGGGTATGAGCCACAGGTTATTGGAGCCCCGCCGCGGTGATCTAGTGGCTAAAGTACTCGGCTGCTGACCCGCAGGTCACGGGTTCGAATCCCGGCTGTGGCGGCTGCATTTCTGATGGAGGCGGAAATGTTGTAGGCCCGTGTGCTCAGATTTGGGTGCACGTACGTTAAAGAACCCCAGGTGGTCGAAATTCCCGGAGCCCTCCACTATGGCGTCTCTCATAATCATATGGTGGTTTTGGGACGTTAAACCCCACATATCAATGAACAGGTGATTGGAACTCGGTATCTACCCAGGAATGGCGACAACGCACATACAAAAAATTAATGCGAGGGTTCCAGCAGGAATAGAACCACAGCAGTCTGCGTGGCGATCAGGCATTCTACTACAGAGCCACGCCAGACCTCTGAACTGCTTTTCAAGTAGACCCTATAAAGTTCATGAAACGTCACTTGTGGTTGCAGTGCTGACCATCTGATTTTATGAAGCTTACATATTGTCACAGGGTCGTGGCGTGGATGAAAGGAGCAGGCAGTAGGCAGAATAATGAACTATTTTTCGGGCCTACCTTGTGGTCACGTAAAAGGAAAGTTAGATTACAGCGAGACATTTGCACTGGTAGCGGCGAGCAGAGCGTCGGCCGCCGATCAACTGACAAGCGGCGAAGCGTGTCGGCATTTATATCCTTTCCATCGAATAATTAAGCGTTATCGCTAGCGGTGACGTAGGTTCTCGCATAATCTGTATTGTTCACGAAGTGGGCGTAACAAAACTATTCACTACAGCCTCAAAGCCTCTCGAACATCGTAGACACGGTTTGCGCTGAACGTAGTGTAACGTGGTGATAACAAAACTTGAGGAAAGGAACGTGGCAATGTGTACTCTTTTAATACAGCCGTCATGTCAAGTTAACGCGAAGTTTAGTTAAGCGCCGTGTGCTGGTGTCTAATTATGAAGCAACGTCCAGGGCTCCTCGCGAGCAGCAGCGCTTCATAGAAGCTTATCGCATCTGGCGTTGCTAATACTAACGTTACTGTTGGCATCGTTACCTAAGTGCAAACTCGTTATATAAACACCTTCAACTCTTCATCATATGTCTGTGCGTGCAACATTTGTACATATATTTAGCGTCATTTCATGGCCTGACGCTCAATAAAAAATTGCAACACGGTCACCTTTTCTCCACATGCTTCACATAACGTTGATTCCCAAAGTACGTGAGATCTGCCAAACTTGTTTCACTAATTGTACCACTCGCTAAGCGCACCCAGAAATAACTGAGATAAGCCACAGCCAATTTTTATTATGTTCTTATTGATTCCATCTTAGCGTGGTATCATCCATATGCCGTATCTAGGCGTATGCTAAGTAGTTGAGCTACCACAAAATTTTAATCGTGATCATGGGTGTTAGTCATCTATATGGAGATGCGCTGCTAGTCGTCAACGTAAATGCACCCACATCGGACGGGGCTGCAGCTGCCATCGCACAAACTCTCGTGTATCAATCTATAATAAACAATCAACTACTGCTGTGGAGGCACGCTTCAGTTTCATATTGTACTGACTCCTATGACAGCCTAGTCAACCATGTGTTTTTTTTTTTTCTTCTCGGTCGGTGCACTGACCCACTCACGCACCGCTCCGAAAGGTGTCTACACACGTAGTTCCGCACAAGCTGCAGATGCGAGGCATTGCCGCATTTCGTGCCTCTCAGGGTTTCCGCATTGCCTCTATGACTGGCCCACCACTGACCGAGCAGCGATGTCATGTGATTACGTCATCACGTGGCAGCACGTTGTGTGACGCCACAGCATTAAGGTGGCGGCACAAACTTTGGCTATATGTACGTAGCGTCATACAGTGACATCACCACGTGATGATTTTTTCAATCAGTTTTGTTGACGCCAATTATCAGCTTTCACGCTTGATGATGCGTTTATAAGACAGACAGACAGACAGACAGACAGACAGACAGACAGACAGACAGACAGACAGACAGACAGACAGACAGACAGACAGACAGACAGACAGATAGACAGATAGATAGATAGATAGATAGATAGATAGATAGATAGATAGATAGATAGATAGATAGATAGATAGATAGATAGATAGATAGATAGACAGACAGACAGACAGACAGACAGACAGACAGACAGACAGACAGACAGACAGACAGACAGACAGACAGACAGACAGACAGATAGATAGATAGATAGATAGATAGATAGATAGATAGATAGATAGATAGATAGATAGATAGATAGATAGATAGATAGATAGATAGATAGATAGATAGATAGATAGATAGACAGATAGACAGACAGACAGACAGACAGACAGACAGACAGACAGACAGACAGACAGACAGACAGACAGACAGACAGACAGACAGACAGACAGACAGACAGATAGATAGATAGATAGATAGATAGATAGATAGATAGATAGATGATAGATAGATAGATAGATAGATAGATAGATAGATAGATAGATAGATAGATAGATAGATAGATAGATAGATAGATAGATAGATAGATAGATAGATAGATAGATAGATAGATAGATAGATAGATAGATAGACAGACAGACAGACAGACAGACAGACAGACAGACAGACAGACAGACAGACAGACAGACAGACAGACAGACAGACAGACAGACAGATAGATAGATAGATAGATAGATAGATAGATAGATAGATAGATAGATAGATAGATAGATAGATAGATAGATAGATAGATAGATAGATAGATAGATAGATAGATAGATAGATAGATAGATAGATAGATAGATAGATAGATAGATAGATAGATAGATAGATAGATAGATAGATAGATAGATAGATAGATAGATAGATAGATAGATAGATAGATAGATAGATAGATAGATAGATAGAGATAGTGAACTTTAATCGATCCTGAGGAGCTACTGAAGCACCATCTCAGGCATGGTCAATTATCTCACACACATAGGCCGCTCTAGTTCAGTGCATCGCCGTGTCGTCACGGATTTAAGGCCGCAGGAACGTTTACGTTGATAAAGAAGACCAAACTAATAGACCGCCTTTGTTAATTTTTGTCCTTGTTATTCTTGTATACTAAAAAAAGTTTGCTATATAGAGGCGACGATTCAAAGTTCCTCGACTTTCAGTCACCGGGCGGGAATTCACTTTTTTTTTTTTTTTTGCCAACGTAGGAATAACTTTTGTGCAGCTCGAAATTTCCCCTGGGACGAAAACGTCAGCGATGTCGTGGACCCGCGGCAAGCGCACATGGCTTAAAGAATAGCATGCTTTTCATAGTGTCGTATGGCGAGAGAAACCGCAGAATCGACCGAGGCGTGTCCCAGTTGTGCTTTCTTTATAAAACTGAGCTTACATGATGAGCGCCTTCATTTGCAACTGACAAGACACCTTCATAGGCTGGCGCATGGGGGGGGGGGGGAGTCAGGAGGGTTGGCTGCCCCCCCCCTGGTTATCAAAGAGGAGGGGGGCGCAACATCAGTCTACATTAATTATTAGGGATGGGGCACCTTAACTCGGCAGGGAGGGGGGGGGCGCAAAGTTAGTCCTGTAAATTGACTTAGCCTCCCCACCCCCCTCCCGAAGAGGAACTCTGCTCACGTTTATAGACACCAATCATTTCCTGCGGTGCCCTGCATCTTTGCAATGGTGATACTTGGACATGCAGCACATTTCCACCAAGATACGGTTCTTGCATCCCTAATGTTGGAGCCTCAGTGGAATACGCCCGCAGGCAAATGTTTGTTTGTGTGTGCATGTATATACGTGCTTGCTTGCATGCGTGCTTCAGCAGAGCTTATAGCTTTTTTGCTGTCTTGCCGGCAGATCCCCAAAGTTATACGTAATTACATTTCTATACTTTTGAATATATCACATAAAAATATTCGGTTATATGAATTTCTAAATTTAAACGCTCAATAGCGCCTACAACTAGCAATGCGGGCCTTTCTTAACTATTCCGATAAGTAAGCACGTCATAGCTTTTAAAGCGAGCGTGTAGAAGGCTGACTTTTGGTGGATCTTCTCCGTGAAATAATAGATTGTAGAACGTAGGATAGAACTTAAAATAGACTTGTACAACAATAACTAATGGGTGAGGCAGACATAGGATCAAAAAGTGCGAAACCCAATGTTAAAGGGAAGGGAGCAATTTCATATCATCGACATATGGAAATTAATCAGATTAAACAAAACCACGTTGCTCCAATTTTCTTTCTACAAACAATTTTGGAACAGAAACGTTAAGCATTGAGCTTATGTTTTGCTTTCGCTCATGTAGTATGCCCATTTAGAGACCGTATGGAATACTTGCAAATGTGAAATCATCAATCGAGTTCTGATTTGCAAAAGGTGTTCTGTTTCACTTTGTCCAGTTTGCATTTTTGGGCCACCGCACTGAAACGTAGCGCCTTAAAAGCAGCAATACCAAATAAGGAAATTCGCTCCAGATGTACTCAAAATATGTGCTTAATAAATCTCTCATTTCTTCTCTTTCAGGTGGCGACCTCACCTGAAAACACTAAATCATGGAGTTCGAAGACGTGCTCGAAAAACTCGGCGGCTACGGAAAGTTCCAGAAAATGCTGGTCTGGGGATACCTGGCGCCCGCTTCCATCCTCATGCCCGGATACTTCATGAGCCAGATCTTCCTGCTGTCCACGCCTAAGCACGCATGCCCCCTACCGGGCTTTGTGCGCGACACCTACAACCTAACGGCATCCGAAACGCTGCAACTGAGGACTGCCCTGGTCAGCGAAGACAACTGCAGGATGTTTCCGCTCTCTGCCCTCAACTCGAGTTTAGTGACTCAAATACTGAACGGTGCAAACAGGTCGTCGTGGCACGGGACTGTCGACTTGCAGTGGGAACCGTGCAAGAAGTTTGACTACGACAAGACATATTACGACAGCACCGCTTCGACTCAGGTATATTGCCACATGTTAGTGACGTTGAAGAAGGGTGTGGTCACACTGGTCCAGACGAAAAGCTATTAGGCGAGTCTGTGCCACAAAAACCAACTCAAAGTACAAGCAATACGCTCTGTACACTGATAGCGTAGATCAGACTCATCGCTCATCGTTAATTTAATCTACCACGAAAAATGTTGACTTTTATATATGAAATCCACAGTTGTCGCTGGGGCTCGCGGTAGCGCCAAAGTAAGTTACTCATTTCGGGTGCGCAATCTTATTCTATGCTTGAGTGTTTCCACGTTAATAACAATTCACATTACGGGCGTAAGCAAGTGCGCTAACATTATGTACGCGGTGTGCCTTTCTCTATATTTCGATGAACTCATGATTACTTTGCGAGGAAGCTGCAACCGGAACGAAATGATACAAAGTGTTATAGATAACGCAGCCCAAGGCGAGTGTAAAGCTTTGCTTCGGTGGCACAAAGTGGTCAATTTCGTTCTGCTTACCTTGTCGAATACGTGTGATCTTTGTCAGCTTCGTCTTCATCAACACACCGTGGACAATCAGAACACTTCGCATGATATACATTCTACAATGAAATCTGCTACTTTTTGTTATAACTGTCTTGTAGCGCAGAAGTTGCGGAGTCGAAGTAATTACATTACGTGAACTAATGCATATTTAAAAGTTGTGCAACAAAAAAAAAAGGTGGCAAGGTGAAGGGAGGGAAATGATACCCGAAATCAGTTCACGGCTGTTAAAGAAAAGTGAAGTAGGGAGGCGGAAATACCAGCTACTTAGCATTCATTCATTAATTCATTCACCTAGTGCAACGAGAGTGTCACAAATTTTTGTGGAGAGCTCTTCCAGTGCGGAGAGTATTCCAGGCACTTCAGTCGCCAACCAGTATCGCAGTTTTCCTATTGAAGAAAAATATATTTATAGTTTACATTTGAGTAAAGCAGAAAAAGCCTTTGACGCGCAAACTCAAGTCACCGAGAAAATTATGCAGACAACTTTATATTTCTTTTATTCTGCCAGGGGGACATTTACAAAAGCAAAGCGGTTGAGACTTTCGCTGAACTTTTCACGAGTTGGAAACAATGGATTATTTTACCAAAGCCGCGGAACTTGTATAGTAGGACCAGTATTTTAAAAAAGAAAAAAAAATTGTAGCCAACTTCATTATGCCGTCTCACAGGAATCACGTTTTTTTTTTTTTTTACATATATATCACTGGTGTGCCGCGCGTGGGTTGAACAAATTGCTTCCATGCGTAACGTATTTTCATGCAGCCTCACTGAGAGCTGCGTTCAATTTAACGCTCGCGTTACTCGTGGGGGCCGGCTAATTCCCTTGACGTTCAGCGCAGAAGAGCAACGTTTTCATCCACTTCTGAATACCGTTTTTCATTGTGTGTTTATTATTATTACAGGTCTGCTTCGCCCTGTGTTGGCTTTCATCGCTGCTAGCAATGTATACACGTTAAATATCTAAGAGCACGATAACTTCTTTTTCGCAGAAAAGGGCCCTGTAAGCACCGCGTTTAGATGCGTTTAATTTCACCTCTTCTAGAGTTAGGGCTGCTAGATTAGTGAAACGAGCAAATTTAACAATTATCAGTCTAAAGCATGGCATATTGGCAAGGTTATTCGTGTGCTCATTCAAAGCGGCTAGAGTCTGATTTCCATTCAGCGAAAATCGAGAAGCTAGAAGTGTGATATGAAAATGTCCCGGTGCATGAAGCAGCCCATTAATTAAAAGAGTTTACCGTTTTGGGCAAGTTGGTCTTTCGACATAGAAACCATCGTGAGTATAGTGCAACCAAACAGGACACACGAGCAGTACGTCTGGGCTCCTCTGTTTCCTTTATGTGCGTCTTGTTAGGTTGCTCTCCTCACGATGGTTTGTACGCCATCAAACGTATTCATGAACATTTCCGTCTAATCCTGGCAGGTCCCAGCGAAATCAAGTTCAAGCAATCAATCATCGTAACCTTGAACCAAACACCTTCCAGTGCTAAACAGATGCATACATGAAAGGAAGGAAGGAAGCAACAAAAGAGAAAAGGCAGGGAGGTTAACCAGAAAGTCATCCAGTTGGCTACCCTACACAGGGGGATTAAGGAAGGGTACAAGAAAGATGCATTCTAAGTTTTCTTTTATCTGTACTCGCCTAAAAGTACGGTGTACTGTGCCTAGACAGGCTATGTAGGCTTCGGTAAGACCAATGTTACACCTGATTAAAGTTTCCTCTGTTCACTTCACTAGAGCACTAATAAAATACAGTGGTTAGTCCGGCCTCTCAATGACCGTAATGACCCTCCTATGGTGTGTGGAATTCCTAGGACGCTGAGGAGTACGCCTCAGCTATTCAGATTGCTCCGAAAGGAGCTGATACACAGGAACATAGTAGAGATAGGCAAAGAGCAAGGCCGGAAGATTAACGAGATCCTAGCACAGAAACATAGTAACATCGCGTAGACGCTTACGGCTTAATGAGCTATGTATCTTGTCAGTGCATGCTGGACTTCCAGGCCCAACGGCATGAAATTGTGGGCGAGTGCACAATAGCCATGCCGTAATGACTCGTATATTATGCGAGCGTTTTAAAACTGTTGTTGTCTAGAGCGTACAATACATTTCTAAACATTGTAGTTTCTAAGCTTGTCGGGGAGCATTCATTTTTTGAATGAAAGAAAGGAAAAAGTTTAATAAGGACGTGATTGTCTTACATTGCCGGGTTCATTGATTTGCATTTGTCATTTGTACAAGTGCAGTTCATTGTGCTCGGTAACTGCGTAGTAATTCGGCTTTCTAGGCAACGTGAGCGTTAATTAAATTATTACCATCAGTCTGCGAAAAGCACAGTTTGAGTGTGCACTTCTGAAATTGACTTAAGCTGACAAACTTAAACTTATAACTAAAACTGATAATCGCAGCCTTGGCGTAGTTTCTCGAACCCACTTTCCGAGTGTGAAGCTCTGACAACCAGTTCCTTATGAAACAATTTAGCGATTTGAGTTCTTGTATCAGACCACCCAAATATCGTACATCTGGTCACTGCTTATTGTAAAACATCGGGTATATGTATGAATGGAAACAGCAGAAATAACGTAAATTGGACTACCAAAGCACGGCGGTGACGTACTGGCAGCAATTATATTAAGCAATTAACTGTGTTTTAGCTAAATGTGACAATATCCGACATTTCCTTATTCGAAATTTTGCCTGAGCTATAAATGTACGTCACAGTGCTCTCAGTGTTATGACAGGCAGCTGTACTGATATAATAAAAGAATCAATGTTATATCATTATCGCTGGTAACTGCTAATAAGTTGTAAGGATGGCTGCATCACGGCCTGTTCTCTAAAGACGCATCTAAGAAATCGTAATTACCTTTTTTTAACTATAATAGACCTCGTCAAATATATCCACGAGACATATAGAAGCAAAGCTTTTCTCAAGGAGTCGATGGGAAAGCAATTCCAAAAAGGAGTAGTGGTGGCTTTCAACATCTTTTATTTTTCTATTGCCTTGCAGTGGGACCTAGTCTGCGAACGCGGTCACCTTCCAAGTCTAGTATTCACAATCACAAGTATCGGAAGCGCCATAGGAACTATTTTCTTCGGTGCCCTATCAGATAAGTAAGAACTACACGTTATATTTTACGCCACTTGATTGACTAGGAGCTGTTCATATCAGACATCCAAAGGTTACAGCGAACGAATAGTACCTTTAAAATGCACTAGCTTCGAGAATTTGAAGCTGCATAACGCTAGTTTATTCGTAATCTTCAGCTTAGAAATTCTGGGATCCTAAAGCTTCGCCTTGAAGAGTTGAAGGTGATAGCGATATCCCTTTCCTACTGCGTACTTCAACCACTTAGTGCATGCTTTTGTTTGCATGATGTTACTCGAGAAGTTTAAATTATTGATTCTCGACAAAGTTAAAAACGGCTTGTGTCAGTAAAGCTCTCGAATATGGCTGCATTCTGTGTAATGGGTAACATGTTTTTAACCGCAAAGCCACTTTTATAATCACATGTTTTGACGCCCTATGGTAATGTGATATTAATGCGACATTGTATGTTTTATTGTGAAGCCTATATACAAGACGCATGTGCTTGTAAAGCGTGAGCGTTCATTGCATTTTCAAGCAGAAGAAATCATTTTAACTGCATTTCCAATCATAAACGTGACTCTCAGATTGATTGATTGATTAATTGATTGATTGATTTATTGATTGATTGATTGATTGATTGATTGATTGATTGATTGATGATTGATTGATTGATTGATTGATTGATTGATATGTGGGATTTAACGTCCTAAAACCACCATATGATTACGAGAGGCACCGTAGTGGCGGGCTCCGGAAATTCCGACCACCTGGGGTTCTTTAATGTGCACACAAATCTGAACTCACGGGCCTAAAGCGTTTTCGCCTCCATAGAAAATGCAGCCGCCGCAGCTGGGATGCGATCCCGCGACCTGCGGGTCAACAGCTGAGTACTTTGGCCACCAGAGTACCGAGCTGGGGCTATACATAGTGAAGTAAATAAGTGCACGTTTAAGGGCTCTTTTTCTTTGTTCGATGCAATAATAATGAGATCTATAGACAATCACGTCGAGGAAAGTATACAGAAGTCATTAGAAGTAATTGTAATGCAAAATTGAACAAAAAGGGAAAGTGGACAAAAACATGACTTGCCGTGGGCAGTGACCGAAACTGCGGCCATCGAATAACGAGTCCGATGCTCTACCAACTGAGCTACTACGGCGGCTATTTCCTCGTCCACTTTGGGACGGCGTTGCATCTAGAGCGTTGTGCTGCTCAAAACGGAGGCGCAGATTGTAAACTCCGCCACGGCAGCAGTATTTCAAAGATGGTGAAACGTAAGAATGGCCATGCGTTTTGGTTTAACGTGGAAACGTTCAAGATGGTCTGGACGTAATTCTTCTAATCCATGCGACTTGATTTTACTAGAAGGGCGTGTCATGCTTGCACTGCAGCTCGCAAGAGCGATAGAGCACGTTGGATTACCGTGTTGCACATGTAAATGCTGGCTGATAAAGGTCAGCATGATGATTATCCAAATACTGGTAGTAACAGCAACCACTGAATTTAATAAGTTTGTGGACGGTTATTCTTCAGGATCGGTCGTCGGTTCGCCTTCTTCATCACTGTGGTGGTGGCTACCGTATTCGGCATCTCGTCCATCCTCGTGACCAACTTCGTGGCTTTCGTCGTCTTGAGATTCTTCAACGCCACCATCATGCCGCAGATATTCCAGCTCCCGTATGTGATACGTGAGTATTCACTACATTTCGTGCCGAAAGGCTCTGTGTTGTCAATCGACTGACGCACCAACCGAATGAGCATCATAAGCTCTTCCAATAACACCACTTATCGAAGGAGTTACGAACACTATTCTTTATTTTACGAAAACATGCATGTTCTATTTTCAACTGCGGAGGCGATTGGCCTGCGTTTACTTTTTGTATATACATATTACAAATCTCAAAGACCCTACCATATTATCACAATAAGCAAGGTCACAGCCAACATTTCGTAAGACGTGTTGACGGTGAAGGTATCACGTCAAAGCAATAAGTTCCTCTACTTTAATTACATTACAGCATTAGGTATGCCGTCCTTCACCATTCTCACTATGCGGCGCGGACTTGATTCAGTAAAAGTATCTGGTCCACGTTTCTTCACACGTCCACATTTATTTTAATAAATGTTCAATGTTTCTTTAAGCGCTACACTGACTGATTCATGCATTCATCCATCCATCCATCTTTACTTACATACTCATCAGTCAATCAATACATTTATTCATCCATCCATCCGTATATTTATTCATCCACCCATCCGTACGTCCATTCATCCGTACATCTATACATTCATTCATTCATACATTTATTCCGCATCTCGTTCGCCCTCGTGTGATACGTATCACATAATCAATCAATGGACGCAGATATTCTAGCTCCCATATGTGATTCTCGCGTATGTCATATGGGAGCCAAAATATCTGCATGCATTGATTGATTGATTGATTGATTGATTGATTGATTGATTGATTGATTGGACACGCAGTACTGGAGCTAGTGGGGCCGAAACAACGCACGGCCATGCTGGCCGTCGGCTGGATGTCGTGGACTGCCGGTCTGTGCCTGCTGCCGCTGGTGGCCTTCCTGACTCGCGACTGGACGGTCCTCGGGCTCCTGTGCTCGGCAGCAGCCGCACTCAACGCGGTCTACTGGAAGTAATGGGTCTTTTTCTTCTAAATGCGGAGTCTTCTAGCGTTCCCTCTGCATCTATGTGAATTCGGGAATGTCTGTCCAACACGCAAACACACACACTTTCGGGATATGCATCACCTCGTTCGGCGACCGCAAGGCCCATTTAAGTCAATAAAAAAATTGTAAATGGGTGCAGCAGACAGTAGCACAAGACACCAGACGAAAGAAAGGTAACTCTTGCGTGGTTCAGCTTATTCCGATTTACGCCGAATCATTTCCTCGTGTACTCACACCACGTGCCATGAGCAGCTACGCTTTTCCTCCCCTTGGCGCCCATCCTGTTGGTCTAAATGTCACGTGTTAATGTCTTTATACCCGCTTTGCATGAACAACCTAAGGCACAGTAAAAAAAAGAAAAGCTGCCTAACGAAGTTTTCAACGTTCGTTAACTCATGTTTAGTGTTTACTTCTTCGGTACGACCCACTGCTTTGTTTGGGTGGGTGATACTGAAAGGGTTCAGCGTTGTATCCACGTGACCTCGGTTCACGTCGTCACACGTGTTCTCTCTCCTTTGTTGGCCAGGCTGCTGCCGGAGTCTCCGCGCTGGCTTTTATCGCGGAACCGTTTCGGCGAAGCCACCGACGTGCTGAAGCGCATCGCCAGGACAAACGGCGTTTCCCCGCCCAAAAACCTGGCCGTTGACTTGGAGGTAATTGGCTAATCGAGCGTGCCTCAGCGCCTCTCTCGTATCTGTGCTTCTCTCTATCTACTTGAGCACTTTTATTTACATGCTTCTTTGTAATCGAAAGGCTCTTCGCTGACACTGTTATTGATCGAAAACCTGATAATGCCCGCCCAGTTGGCCCCGCGGGATGTGATGCTCGTGTTGATCAAAAAGAGCGGGAACAAGGAGGGTAAGAGAGAAGCAGTTCCGCAGGCGACAAGTAGTAAAGCGGGCGTCCTGCTTACGGTGCAGTCGGGAAACAAAGTTAGCTCCTTGGTCACTAAAAGCGGGAGCTGTAATTGTACACATGGCACAGGAAAAACTCGGGTTTCCCAACTGCGACCGAGGGTAGTGAGCAAGAAACAGAGGCCACTTCCCGAAAGCAACAAAGAGGCGTGGTTCAAGGACCAGCCGTCTTGGGATAGCTATGACGGGGAAGTAAGAGCAAACACTTCAAAAGAGGGACAATACGCGACAACTGTTACTTTCATCAAGTCAGAAAGAAAGAAAATAAATCGTTCTTCATTTTGTGTGTGTGTGTGTGACAAACGTCGAAGACGAGATGTATTCGTTCTTCGTCTGCCACAAACACGTCTTCAGCATCAACTGCCTAATGGTCTATTATTTTCTCTCGCCAGCGAGTCCAGAGGAAACTCGCCGAGGAAGAAAAGGTGGCTAAGTCGTCCACTGTCGACCTCATACGGATGTCGAAAGTCAGAAGTAACTTTCTCATCATCACGCTCAGCTGGTAAGTAATTTGAGTACAGCTTTATCGGGGCTGACAGGCAGAGCCACACTTGTTTTCTGAGATTCGTGTCTTATTGAGTATATTTCGAGCTGGCCGTTATTCAAGTCAAAAGCGACTATTTATTTATTTATCTTTATTTATTAGAATACCCTCAGGGCCCGTAGGGCATTACAGAGGGGGTGGGTACAACATTTTATAACACACAAAGGAATAAAGACAAGAAAAAGACAAAGAAAAGAAACAAGTGTCAGATGCGCAAATCACGAAGGCAACATAAATCAACTAAAGATGTATAAGTAAGAATTCAAGCACATACAAGACAAAGATAGATAATGGAAACTGCGTATAGTTACAAACATTGCTGAGAAATTGCAGTCTTGACTAACAAAGGGTCTGTTATTGTTACAACGGAAGAGGGAAGGTGGTTCCAATCGGCGGCTGTTTTCGGTAAGAAGGCTGCTGAAAAGAATTTGGTGCGGCAAAACGGAATGACAACCTTATGCTGGTGATCATTGCGCGATAAGTGGTATGACGGTTGTGAAATGAGGTCTCGCTTCATTGATGAATTGTGAAAAAATATCTTATGAAAAAAATGCAGTCGCACCAGTTTCCTCCGGACAGTTAAATTGGGCAGGTCAAGATTAGATTTCATTTCTGATATGCTAGCAGTACGGGAATAATTAGAACAAATGAACCGAGCTGAGCGGTTCTGAACAGATTCTAACGCGTTGATTAAATTTTGCTGCACGGAAGAAACAGTCGGAAGAAACAGTCGGAAGTAGGGTGGTGGGGGTGGTGTTGCAGCAAGCGGGGTTAGCCTGGCCTACATGGCCGGCAATCGTTCCGCCGTTGTCGGAAGCACACCAACACACCAGAAGCTCTTCTCGCCCAAACTTCGAATTTTGATGATCACGCGCACAAACACATGTACAAGCGAAGGAAGTATGTTAAGCCCAAATAAGATCATTTGTTAGTGAACGGTGCCACATTGATGTGGTCAAAAGTTCACGTTAAGCAAGTTTTTATCAGCTTTTTATAATGCTAGCCGCACGTGTTACTTTTGGTATGTTCGGGTTGTCTTGCAGGGGCGTTGTGGTCATGCTACAAATGTGGCATGGAACATCTTTCAAAGTGCTGTCTTGAGAATAACCATGTACAGAAGTTTTTATCATCATTGTGTACTATAGTATAGTCCTCACAAACTAAATCTAACGTTTAATTTCTGTTTTGCATGATCCTCAAGACACTATACAAAAGCGCATTGAAGGTGTCACCAAAATGGCTTTAGTTACGTCTGAATATACACTGTTGAATCAGTGACAGTGAAAAAAAAAAAAAGCTTCGGCCTCCTCCGCCACACCAGACTTTTACACTCACGGAGTGAATAAAGAGACGAAAAATATATCAAAATCCACAATCTCATTAATCACGCAGACGACAGCCGTCTCAGCTCCCAACCACTGAGTCAGTCATGCTTTCGTCCTGCCATCAAGGGTCGCCAACGCGAGCGCGTACTACGGCATGAGCATCAACGTGACCAACATGAGCGGCAACGAGTTCGTCAACTTCTTCCTGCTGGGCCTGGTCGAGTTTCCGGCCTGCGTGATCGCCTGGTGGGCCATGGAGAAACTGGGACGCCGATGGATGAACGTCCTCTTCCAGTGCATGGTCAGCGCGTCGTGCATCGCCTTCTGCCTCGCGCCCGAGGGTGAGTGTCGCGCCTTGACGCAATCGGTTGAGACCGCACGCAGCAATAGAGCGTTCGTTCCGCGATGACAGTTTGGTCGTCTATGGCAGTCGGTAACAGCAGGTGTGTTCAGCATTCGAAGCGTTGCCCACAATGGGAGCATCAATTCGTTGACTTCTTTATACATACATCGTCACGCCGATCATCGTGATCTGGCGTGATCGCATGCGTCTTTCCCCTTCAAAAGTCATGAAACGTCTCGTCTTGGAGGCATTTGTTCTGGCAACACCGATTGAACAGGCTCCTACGAAAATTCTTTTATAACGGCTGCTGCCACCACCGCGTGAGGGCAGGGGCCTGCCTCCGCCGCAGTTGCGGTCACTGTTGCCGATCGGCGGCGTGAGCTGTGCTGCCGCTGGGAGGCGGCACTTACCAGCGACGAGCTGGCCGACCAGTTTTGGGCCGTGCGGCAAGCTGAAGATGCCGTCCGGGTGCTAGGACTTCGAGCGGTCACCTGAGGCACCACCATCATAATCGACGGAGAGTGGGAAGGGACAGTGGTAATTTCCCTCTTCCCCCACCTCTCCCGGTAAAACTGCCCGACTTTAAATAAAGTTTATTCATTCATTCATTCATTCATTCATTCATTCACGGTCGAGTGAGATGCTTACTGCGATATAAAGGACCACTGAAAATGATGAACTGTTCTTCGAGTAGCTATTATAATGTGTTTCAATCATGCAATCTGTTTCTTTTTTTTTTTTTTGGCAAGACTGCAACGTTTTTGCGAATGTCGCGTTGCAAGAACTTTTTCCCGGCATTCGAACATTTCAAGTTTTGTCTGCAAGCGTAAATGGTGTAACGTTAAGGACATTCGTTTCTGTAGCTGAATGATATTCGATTTTGCTTCTTCCTACAGATGCCCTGATCACCGGTATTGTCCTCGTGATGTTCGCCAAGTTCTTTTGCACGGCGTCAGCCATGGTCATGTACCAGCAGGCGTCCGAAGTGATGCCCACTCCAGTGCGCTCCTTTGCTCTGGGCGCGTCTTCGTCGGTGGCTTCGGCGATCACCATCTGCATGCCCTACATCATCTACCTTGTACGTTCGGCTAACCTGCTCAGTCAATTCTTTTTTTGTAATACAAAAACAGTGTCCATACCTGAATTCGCAAATCAGTTAGGTGGAAACCCTCGAAGTACGCAAAGAAACTTCATAAGAGATAAGAAGTACCATCAATTCATTTGGCACACTAAACTGGAAGTTCTCACTAGTTTATTTATAGCTTTGTGATCCAAATAACTGACCGGAAAGTTGTCTTTCATTAGGCAGTTTTATAATAATCTACACGGCGATAGCGTTGGTGTTTCAAAATATAACGAGGGTAGTCATGGCACATGCACATGCGTGTAACGCATGCACAGTGGCTACAAACGCCAAAGCGAACCTTTGCATGCATTCTTTGAAATCTTCCTATTAACAGTGCCATGAAAACATGAAACACATTGTAAGACGAGCGAATTCTGGGCAGTTTTTATAGGTCTCCGTCACCCTGTCACTTTTTGTGGCAATTAACTACTACCGTGGAGCAGTTTTTACTTTTCTCGGTGAATTTTTAGCAACCTTTTAACAAAGTTACTGGTGTATTTATTTATTTATTTACTCATTCATTCATTTATTTATTTATTCTACCAAGATCCGTGTATTAGGAGATCAGAACCACAAAGGAACATGCTGATTCTTAGAGTTTCTTGCTCTTCTTCGTACTCTTTCGCGTGTTCATATCTAGGACTGGTGTCCTGACGTGTCATGCATTTACGCGCTATAAGTAACACCGTGTTATCCCTCGGTCTCTTCTCGTAGGGAAAGTATGGAGCCTGGATTCCGTTTTCAGTCATAGCCACCCTCGCAGCACTGGGAGGAGGATTTTCCGCCTGGCTGCCTGAAACCCGGGGTTACCCTCTGTACCAGAACATGGAGGACGCACAGAAGTTCTCTGCGAACCAGAAGTTTTTCTCTTTCAACAGGTGCGTGTTGTAGGAACTTAAGAACATGCATGATAGAGCAGCGAGTGAGAAACCGTACTACAGAGATGCCGGCCGTGAGACTAATGTCCAAGCTTCCAGGAAAGAGCCCAAGCAATCAATAGTTATTACTGCAGCCTTAAGTGGCTATGCTGGCGATCCCATCCACGAGACCCTACGCGACATTGAAAAGTCCTGCAAGGCTAGTAAGCTACATTAACGGCTCGGGGGAGGCACAATGACGAGAAACCGACATATCTGTTCGTGTAGCTATGGCAGAACAACTAAAGCGGTCAGGGCACCAAGCCTCGGAATGTCTAGCAAAGTTCCCACGCAATTCTTGCAAGTTCTAGCAAGGCCCCGTCCGTAATACCCCGTGACATTGGAGATAGTGGTGACGTCATCACTATTTCAGAGATTGCCAAAGCTTGTGACTTTATAAGGAAGTCGCACAGTGGCACAACATGGTGACATCATCATGACAACACCCATTGACGTCATGCGAGGACGTCATGATTTGTTACTGGCTAATTCCGGCGGTAATGCAACACCCTGAGATGTGCAGAAAACTTCGGTTGGAGGATGAGGAACGTATGAATGGACGGATTTATTGCGTGCTTCTCCCACTGTGACTCACTACACATCCTCTCCCCATTGTCTGCTCCCCATCCTCTCCCCATTGTCTGCTCCCCAGTCTTCTCCCCATTGCATAACATTATGCATTAAGAAGCACAGCAACTTAGCACCTTCAAGTCTCACAGAGAGTAACATGCTGCCAGAGTTTTTCTTCCTTTTGTAAGATATTCAGAGAGGAGGGTTCATTTTCTTGCCGGTATTTCATTTTGTTATCGATATTTTGTCGCAGCGCTCGAGATAATTCTGCTACTTTTAATTTTTCTTGTGCAAGTATTTTCAATAGCACTTAATACTACGAAAATCTGCATTAGCAGTTGAGCCCCTCCAGTAAAGTCAAGACATATACGTAAAAAAAGTCACTGTATGTTGGCGCATTACTAGGGGCTCCTTCAGGCTTCATTCAAAGTAACAGTTACTTTCTTACCCAAACGTTTTGTGTGCCTCTGATGACATACACAGCTACAACAATAATCATCAATGCTGGTCGAACATTTCAAAATATTGCAAAAAATGCGAATAAACTACATGCTGACTGAAACATTAGGCTGTAGAAAATCATTCGTAGAAGCTCGATAGCTAACGCCTGTACCGAAGCCTGTGCTTGTCATCATTCGCATGGTGGCACAAAGCTCGCAGCACCAATTTACTCTCTAGGTTATTGTATAAAACGATGTTCTTACGATTCTCCCTACATTGCACCTCCTCTTATTTCTCAGCACAAAACATTAAACATCGCTCTGAATTCATGGTCCTGGCATCGCTGCTTCTGCGTCTGGTGTTAAGAAATCACGAGAATTGCTTTTCGCAATTCGTCGTAGCCTGAAAGCTATGCAGTGCACGAAATGTAGACGTTCCATATGAAAACATTCTGAGAAATCACACCTTGGCATAAACTTGAAACAAAGATATTCGTATGCATTGTATTAATTTTACGGCATTTTATCGCCTGATTCACCAATGTTTCGCTTCAGTCTGTTTGCAACGCATGAACTCAAACATTTATATTTATCTTGAAAATTGATCACGGAACACTATGCCTTCACTCGCGTGTCTATAATAGAGCTTTCAGCAGTTCTAGTATTTTTACTATTTTTACTATTTTACAAAATATTTTAGTATTTGATATCTTGGAGATGCTTCAACTGCCGTCTGGTTGGTTTGTTTTTCACCGCAGGAGGCCCAAGGAGCAGCAGCCTAGTCTAGACCCCCAACTAAACGAGAAAGAGATGAGCCTGATCTCAAACGGTCGTCGTCCTTGAAGAGCTCTTTAGAAGTGATACTACAAGTTCAGAGCCTATGTGTTTTTCTTTTTCTAAGCTACCAGCGCCGTGAACTGGAACGTTCAACATTTCAGCTCCTTGAGCTGACCCTCTGACGTCCAGCCACTGTCTAATAGCGTTCAATACCGAGTTTAATAGTCTTTATTGGTTAACTTATAAAGCATCATCCGCGTATGCATGTTACTAATAAGCGTCTGGCTTGAAAGACAGGAAAAGCAGTTTAATTCACAAAATTATCCTACATAGGCATGATTCGTCCTCGGCAAGCGTTTTCCATAAATTTAAGCATCTGTGTTGACTTGGTACGTAACTGGTTCGTAAAGGTACATAACATCTAGCTAAACACAACGGTATTGGTATGATCACCCATTAGATACCTACTGCCTGTTAATATATTTTTTCTTTGGTTGACGTTTCATTATTGTGCGATGTTATGCAAAAGAAATTGAAACCAACGCACAATAATAATAAGAGTATGGTATTCAAATTAGCCAGTTAACTTGCAGCTGCTAGAGCGCAGTAAAAGTGTTGAACGCCAGATTGCGAACAATGGTGAAACGAATGCGCTGATGATTATAAATAACGGTTCTTACGAGCCCGAATCTTACGAGCCCGAATCAAAAAAAAATCTTACGAGCCCGAATCAGCTATAAAACTTGTCTAATAAATTCGACTGCGAAGTCCGAAAGATCTGCGCACCTTCGAGATGGTCTCGGTGATTATTAGAATCCAACGGCACAGTACCACCGCTTTTCTAAGAAAGCATCATAAAGACACTGATTTGTCAGCAGAGTGAGTGCAGATGTCCGTCTACTGTAGGTACTAACCTCCAAACAAGAAAAAAAAGTTCAGAGGAGACGGAGACCGGAGGTGACAAAACACTGAGCGTGTAATGTAGCTGCAGCTTGCGTTTCGAAGAGTCGACTTGTCTTCAATAGAGCAGCTACACGTAGACATGCCCACCTGTTGAAACGTCAACTCCATCAACATTCGCTTTTAAACAATATTTCATGAGGTCCATAACATGTGTCATGGTGTCCATGACTTTCATGTCATTTCTTTCCCCACCCCCGCTGTGTACGATCCCATGTTTCTGTGATTAAAAAGAGGTTGTCTTTCACTTTGCTGTTCTAAATCGAAGGCCAACTGACGAGAGAGAAAAATATGCTTGAAATACTTAAAACATTGAAGGATTTCGATTCCTTCCTCCAAAGAGACCAGCCGTATGTGCGAAGTATTAGCTGCTCGCACCATGCGCTGGCAGCGTTAGCCTACGTTGGACCAACAGCAGCCAGTAGCAGCCAAGATTAAGCAGAATTTGACCAGAACTAGGCGACTTAAAACGCTGTGATATAAGAATATCTACTGCTACTCAACATCAGCAAGGGCTTGTGAAATGCATCCGAGGCCTTTGTGTAGATTTCCTAAAGACCATAATCGCTTCTTAATGCAGTATCCTTAAAAAGTTCATTAGTCGGGAAGTTTATGCTGTCGATTAATCATAGGATTACGCGACAGCTTGCGTCTCCTATTTTACATCACTATTGTGTTCTTTTTTTTCTTCTAATCTGAACCTTGAAACCAGTGTTTATTAAGCCAACTCACGAGCTGCTATTAAACTGCTCAGCACAAAAATTTAGACCACGGACACAACAGACGAGGACCATTGCAGGTGCAACTAGCCCAGCCCCACACTCTACTTCAGCACGAACTGCTTCTCAAATTCCAGTTTGTTTTTCACAGTTACTGCTCATTAGAGTTAAATATGCCCGAGAGGACACACACCCATTCCACGAATTCAAGTCTTATTCGCCAGGTAAGAACGTCTGTTTCTTCCTTGTGACACTGCATAAGGTGCAACTTCTTGAAACAGCTGAATGAATGAATGAATGAATGAATGAATGAATGAATGAATGAATGGACTTTATTCAAAGTGCAGCTGATACCGTCGGACGAGGTGGGGCAAGAGAGGTCCCTTTCCCCCCTCCGTCGGAAGGGACATGTGCTAATACCCTCTTCTCCCACTAAACAGTCACCTGAAGCGGTGCCTCAGGTGACCGCTAGAAGTCCTTGGACCAGAGTGGCTCCTTCGGCTTGCCGAACTGCTTAAACACCTCTTTTATTTAACTTTCTCTTCGAAAACTCACACGTGATCAAGGTTCAATATATTTTTCCATGAAATACCACAAAAGCAGCATCTTAACACTATTCCGTGTTCTTGTAAGCTTCGCAGGATACATGCTCATATGGCCTAAATCAAAGTTCTGTCGTGAACGGGAACTCGGGCACTGTTAAGTCATATTAACTGCTAGTGAATCCTCTTGACGTAAACAAAAAAAAATAATTCCTTCGGTTTCCTTTCGGTTTTGTTTTCCCTTCATACTCTCTTTTCCTCTTTTCGTGATTTGCGTGATTCCTTTTTTTTTTATTTTACACGGGGGTTCCCGTGCGTGGACTCCAAATGGTTGTTCATTTTATTTGCCTATTATGATGAGTGATCATAATCAATCGCAGAACAAAAGAACGAAGAGTTCTCCTTGGCGCGGACGCACGCTAAATATGATACACATGTAGCGTTACACCCGGTGATGACGACGACATACTACACCATACGACAGGCAGGCCTTCTAAAGCGATCCGCACTTAAAAGGCCTCTCGGCGGGTCGTTACCCATGCTGCACAAAGCAGGCACAGAAATACAGCAGTCAAACATATGTCTCATCACGTATAGGGAGGTAGTGGTGCATCGATTCACAAAAGTACACAAGCCCAAATTATCGTTAAGTCATAGTAAAAAGCAAGAGCTGCTAACGTCTTACAGAAATGAGGCTAAACATAATGACACTGTTTTGAAAAAAATCGGCAGATCCCACGCACCTGAGGAGAGAGAGATAAAAATGCAAGGAAAGGCAGGGAGGTTAACCATACGCACATCCGGTTTGCTACCCTGCACTGGGGAAGGGATAAAGGGGAGAAAAGAGGTTGCAGAGAACTTTTTTTCTCCCCTTCAACATTATGCGAAGCATGTGGAAGGACGGTGACCGTGTTGCAATTTTTTTTATTGAGGAACACGTCATGAAATGACGCTAAATATATGTAGAAATTTCGCACGCACAGACCTAGGTTGAAGAGTTGTATATTGCCACGAGGAATTGTTAAGGCGCAGTACAACGCAGACGTTGTTAAAAGAGGAACGCTGACGGCATCGCTACGACTCATGAAGCCCGCCGGAAGGCACGAGCCGGCCCAGCCTGTGCACGAGCTGCTACCGAGCAGCGGAAAAAGAAGAGAAGAAGAGGACGACGAGCGTTCGCTGCTTTCTCCCAGCTACTGTGTAGTTCTTTTGGCTTTGGGCACAAGTTCGCCCTTATTAAACCTTGTAAATAGGACGTCCCGGTTGTGAGGTTGTTATATCCGTTACATTTTCTGGTGGAGGTGCTGGGTACATGATTCCGAGCCCCACGCAAGAGCGAAGTCCAAGCACTGACCAGCCGCAACCAGTGGAGCTTACACCGGTGCACCAACGAGTCAGCCGCCGTATCCGAGGAGAGTTGCCAGAATTTGGGCCACTCCCTTCTGTATCAAGGGCATCGGTGACGGAGACAAGCGCCGCCACCACCATGACGAGCCAAGTTACGCCGGCACAACTCATCGTAAGCCAACCGGTCATCCCAAAGGTGTTTCATGGTGACCCATACGAGGACGCCGAAGACTGGTTAGAGCATTTCGAGAGAGTGGGAAATCTAAATCAGTGGAACGAGGAAGGCAAGCTGCGTAACGTCTACATTGCGTTGGAAGACTCTGCACGAGTGTGGTACGAAAACCACGAGGCATCTCTGACGTCGTGGCAAGAGTTTCGGCGGCAGCTACTGAGTACGTTCGCCAACAGTGATCGCCGGGAAAAGGCGGAAGCAGCTCTCCGCACACGGATTCAACGAACGAACGAAACTGTCGCGATGTACATCGAAGACATGTCCCGCCTTTTCAAGCGAGCTGATCCTGGCATGACGGAAGACAAGAAAGTGCGCCACCTCATGCACGGGGTAAAGCAAGAATTGTTCGCGGGACTCATCCGCAATCCGCCCCGTACTGTTGCTGAGTTTCGGTCGGAAGCAACAACCATCGAAACGACGCTTCAGCAGAGAGCCCGACAGTACAACCGCGACGTAGCCGGTGCATCCGCAGGAGTCTACTCAGCAGGCGTCGTGGATAATCTTGACACATTGCGCGAGCTCGTCCGGTCTGTTGTCAGGGAAGAATTAAGGAAACTGCAGTCACCTGATGTCACCCCCGAGCTGTCTCTTGCTGAAGTTGTCCGAGACGAAATTCGACAGGCCATGCGGGAGCCGCGGAGTGATGTGCCGGCGACACGACGGGCGGTAACGTACTCCGAGGTGCTCAGGCGACCTACTCTGCACTGTTCGCCGATCGAGACACCAAGTACTTATGTGCAGACAATGCGCAGCCCGCCTGAAATCGTAGAGGCAACACGCACTCCACCTCGTGCGAGAGAGATGATGCCACGGAAGAGCGATGTGTGGCGAGATGCCACACGTAGGCCCTTGTGTTTCCACTGTGGAGAGGCTGGCCACCTGTACCGATTCTGCCGATATCGTCAAGCTGGTCTTAGGGGATTCGCCATCAATGCACCGTGTCCGCGAAACGGCGAAAGACCTTCCGAGATTGAAGAATACCTATGCTCACGTCGGGAATTTGACCCGCCTCGTCGTCATCAACCACGCTCACCATCCCCTATGCGCTACCGCTCGTCTAGCCCACGTCCCTTCCCAAGCACGTCTAGGCAGCGTTCGCCTAGCCCAAATCCGGGAAACTGAAGAGGGCGACCTGTGGAGGCGAGGCCGCTGGCGACTTGGGATGTGAAGATCCTCCACTGCGGCACGAGCCTGATAACGACGACTGTTTCCAGGTAAAGGAGTGCAGTACAGAGAAAATTACTTCAGACTTGCCGTTGGTGATTGACGGACTAGAGCTCAATGCTTTGATCGATACTGGTGCGGATTATTCTGTGATAAGTTACGAATTAGCGAAGCGACTCAAGAAAGTTCTGACCGAATGGGGTGGACCTCAAGTACGTACTGCAGGTGGTCACCTCATAACCCCTTCCGGCCGATGTACCGCAAGGGTCATGATACGGGGCTTCACTTACGTCGGTGACTTTGTCGTCCTGCCTGTGTGCTCGAGGGAAGTGATACTGGGAATGGATTTCCTACAAGCTAATGGTGCGATTATCAATTTACAGAGGTCGAGCGTGTCCTTTTCGACGGAGCAAGCTTTAAAGGTAGCACGATCAGATGAACGATGTACCACTCCACTGCGCGTCGTCGACGATGATGTGACTGTACCGCCACGGAGCAGTATAATGGTTCTCGTGCATAATGATGCATTCAGCGACTACGAGGGTGTGGCGGAGAGCAACGTGGATGTTTTCTTGAAAAGAGGCGTTTGTGTGGCACGAGGGATTATCCAGCTGCGAAACGGGTGCACAGACATCCTCTTGACGAATTTCGGTAACGAATTCCAGCACATCGCAAAAGGGACGGCAATAGCGTTTCTTCATGAGTTCTGTGAAGTGACAGAAATATGCAGTCTTGAAACGACGTCACCGAATGTGAAACTTCCATCTGATGCCTGCGACACAATATACGTAAATCCTAATCTTTCAGAGATTCAACGTCAACAGCTATACGACCTCGTGCGGGAATTTGGCAGCTGTTTCTCCAACAGTTCAAAGGTACGGCGCACGAGCATTACAAAACACAGGATCATAACGGACGAGACAACCAGGCCGGTATGCCAGCACCCGTATCGTGTTTCCC